CACTTTACATTCAAAGCCAAGATGCTCCTATTAATTAGAACTTGCAGCTTTTTCAAGGTATTGATTGCTACTATCTACGACATTGCTAATTCAGCCACTCAAGGACTACTTCTTTTTGGCATGTTCAGAAAGCTAAAGTTATACAGCTATTGCTATGATACAGATCCCCACAGTTTTCTTTTAAAGTAGCAGTGAAGGCATCATAAAGCACCTAAAAGTAACACAATAAATAGTAATTCTTCAAGCACCTCTTGCTACCCACTTTGGCAAGATCAGCAGCACAAAGAAAGAGATGCCATGGCTCAGCAAGCTGCAAGTATTCGACACAGGGAAGGATCTGGTTTGAGCCTTGTTTCTTTTGGAAAGCGAAGAGACCAATGTGTGTCACATCCTTTGGACAGGGACAGACAACCGTAAGGGCCAGACGTCACCAGACCTGCTGCACCCCTGCTGTCAGGCACCAGGGCAAGCTCCTTAGCTGTGTGATTTGTACTGGGGAAAAGTTCAGGCCGCTACAGCTGGTGTTTACATTTGAAACTGCTGCCAGAAGGGGATATGCACAATGTAAATGAAGCCAGATCTTCTGAAATCAAGTCTGCTCCTAAGCAGCACGCTTGAGCCAGGGTGACTTGTTAAATGAGAGTGTTGCTAGGAGAGCTGAGAAGGGTAGCTACACCAACACCACTGTCTTACTAAAAATATTCTGCTCTGTGATACATCTTTAATACATTTACTTCAGGGCTTTGGACCAACCTCTTTAACACTGAACTGCTTATAAACACTGTGATAAATTATCTTCACAAAAAAATAAAGTCAATCTTTTGGAAAACAAGTTCAATACAACACTTGTGGATTCATAAGACAGACTCTGTACTGTACATCAGTAAAGTCGTAACCACACGTAAATCTCTTTAAAGGGACACAGCAAAGAGTCTAAACCAAAAGGCAACTATTTCGTTAACTGTCACGGGAAGCAGAAACAGTGCTTCCAAGATGCAAAAAGGGGGCACGGCATCAACTGATGTGTGTGGGTTTACAATCAGTAGTCACTGTCCTGTAAACATCGAAGCTGCTGGACCGGCTGCAGGTTAAAATCAGTAAATTGCATGTATTTTACTGCATTCTATACACAAAATGTCTACACTGTTCAACAAAACAGCCAGCAGCAAAGGAACAAGGGCTCTGAGCTGGACCTCTCCTACAAGCCAAGGAAGTGTCAAGTCAGAAAATGCTGACATTATAAATAAACCTTAACATCACTTTCAAAAGCATTATAAAGTCAGACTAACAACCCTAAACCTTAGACTAGCAGCCAATTCGTGAGTTTAAAAATATAGTGAATCTTCAGTCAGTCAGTTGTAAATACACACTGTGACGTGGGGAAGGGGCCATCTCTCATTCCCAAGCAGAGCCCTTGAGAACAGAATCAGAGATGGGGACCAAGGAGCACTGTGGTCAGAGAAGCTCCTGAAGTTTTAAAGAGTTGCATTCTACCAACTTGCGTTCACCATTACCTGAAAGTGCATCTTCAGATCTGCAGAATCATTCCCATATTTACATAAGAGTACAAAACACTGCCATTCTGCTACACCCTAAGCGTATCTAACTTACCTACCTAACCCAAAGACTATCTAACCTTTTCTGCTAAGTGCAAAAAGCACGTGAAATGATATGTGCACTGAAGAACACGAGGTCAGGGGCTGAAAACGAGGTGGTGCTGCCCCGTGAATCCCAACTGCTGCTGAACCTTTGCTGCAGAGCTGTGAAATGGTTGGAGCAGAAGCTAACACAGAAGTGGAAGAACAGCATGAGCCTATTCCCACACCCTCTGCACACATACGACACCCGGCACTCCTGCTTCTGTCACCAGTTTCAGCATAAAGTAGAGTCCAAAGGGCAGGACAGCAGCTTACCAGGAGGGGAAGATGCACACTTAGTGCCACTTAGGTACAGGAAAGGTATGGGGTGCAGACTGAAGGACTCCTGACTGCTCCCTTGGTATGAGTGCCAGGGTGTGGGCTGGTGGCCATGCAACATATGGCATATCTGTACAACACCCATGCAGCAACATCTGTTCTGTCTCCAACACGAGTCCATTTTCGGTGTCACCACAGTTCATTTTATGTTATCCTCTCACAAAATGAGGTTTCACTTGGTACACAGACAGTTACATGCCAACGGGCTGTGCTGCAAGGTAACATGCACACCTGAGCCTGCAGTGACATCACAGAGCTGATACAACAAGACCACTATTTGCACTTTGAAAGAGACAATCTGTGCAGTACTTTGAGGAGGGTAACTATGCAGATTAATGAGCAACGGCCTGCAGCAGCTCTTTTAGTTTTGTTTCTTATTCGTATCGACCATACTACAGCTTCTGGCTTTTAAAACACTACAGTAGCCATTTCCATTGAAGTTAAACACACTAAAACAACTGAAATGTAGATGAAACATGAGGAGCTCAGATAGAACACGTGCAGAACACGTACTCTGAACACAGCTTTGCAGATATTGTACTCTGAACACAGCTGTGCTTTGGCTCTATTGTTGTCATATCATATTGGGAAGCACACCTCCATCACATGCTGGCAGCCCAGGAGGGTGCAACAAGAAAGCTGCCCTGCCTCCTGACCACAAGGGTGAGAGAAAGGTGCCCAAGTGAGCGCTATCACAGTGCTGCAATGCAGCAAAAGCTGCAAAGCCACACTGCTACGGGACATTAATAAAGACTGCATTAAGAATGTGTGTGTATGTATACACGTATATGTAAGCATTCACACACATAAACAAAGTGTTTTTGACTACAATGGAAGCATCAGAATTAAAACTACAAAAACCAAGTCTAAAATTCATGGGAGAAAATAATATCAAATTTTCTGATGCAGTACCTACATCTCAGGGATAACCTTCCAAATTTTGTTCTCCTAATCCAGGACAGAGGCAATGTATTTAAAAGCAGATTTTACCCAACTGACCACCACCCTATTTGTTTGCTGCACTAGGACACTTGAAATGCACCACGGCTTCTAGGACCTCTCTCTCCATGCTAGGAAAGCCTGGTAGGACACCAAGTGAGGGATCTGTGTGTGCTGAACATAGTTGTGGGTGAGAAGACAGCGGATACAGAGAGGATGAAGGAGAGTGCCTGAACGGCGCAGCCTGTGCCACATCTCTGTCTACAGCTGTGGTTTCTGACTGATCAACACCCGTCTGGGCAGCATGAGCCTCTTCCTTCCCAGTGCTTTCCTTACTGCCTTGCCTAAAGCTAGGTACTCAGGAAGCACTCATACAGCACTCCTCTTTGCACTGAGTTGTCAGAACCATACATCTGCCCACTGTGATATTAACTGTACTGCCTCATTATGTTCAATGCAAAGGCTCAGTCAAGATGCTTCATACTAAGTGTAAAGAGTCAGCACCTCTCTTCAAGGAAGTTTTACAGGCTACGGAAGAAAATATTAGGCCTTCTGAGACACCCAGAGTGATAAAAATGTAAAAAAAAAAGAAAAAAAAAAAAAAGAAAATTAAGAAAAACAAACGTATGATCCCTTTGATGTGCTGGCCTTACAGTACCTGAAGCTGGTACAGCTTAGCAGAGAGCACAACAGAGTTTCTTCTCTTAAAAATTTTACAAGAGTTTTTCTTTCGCAACTGCTCAGGAATCTATTTTGCCTTCAAAACATACTAAGAATCATTTTATGATGCACAGAGACCATAAATGCCAAGTGTGTTTTCCTTAAGATACATTTTCATTCCAGCGTGGCATTCATCTACTTGATCTATTCAAACAACATGTGAGAATCAGTTTATGGAAAAAAGAGAAAAGAGAAGGAAAGACGAAAACTAAAAGCCTTTGTATGCATCAGCAGGATCCACCTGGGCAGCTGCAAGAACAAGGCTGTATTTGTGCCACTTTGCTACCACAATGCTGCCCTGAGTCAGCCTTGTAACAGAGATAGAAAATCCCCACGGAATGATATGTCACAGCATGGGGCCCTCTGATTAAAATACTCTGGCCCACGAGTTCCACGTTATTTCAGATAACAGATACTAAGCAACAGGGAGACACAGCCAGGGCCTTAACAAGCCAAGAACACAAAACACTGTCAGTTGCATGCTGCAGGATGATGTGCGTCTAGAAGAACAGCCAGACTGGTTTATTTATTTGGGCTGTAGAAGACGGTCAGTACCACAAGCTTAAAAGCTCATGTGTGTTTTCTGTAACAAAAAGTGAAGCTTTCCTCTGCATGTCTGAGTCAGCAATTAGGCTATACAGTCTTTCAGTTACCCCAAGGACAAAAAGCAGTTTTTCTGGCTTTCTGGACAACTATAACTAGCAGCAACATGTTTAAGATTTCTAACTTATAAGCCTGAAAGCACAGCCTGAAGTACAATATGTTCCTGCTGCTTGGAATGCTGGTACCAGGATGCCACAGGAGCTCCAGTGGATCCTTCCTGTCCAGGTTCTGAAGCAGAGACAATCCCACGCCTAGTGATCAGGAGATGAAGATCCACACTCTCTCCTCCTGCACAGTGCACAATGCACGATGGGAAAGGTTTGGCTGCTGCAGACCAACATGACTGTGGACATGGACAGCAGATACATGTAGTGCAGTACAGGACTAAGCATCTGCTCTAGTTCCAGCCTCCAGCAGGAAGCTATGAAGGAGCCGCTGGATCCCTGCAGGAGCAGCAGGCAGGTAGGCAAAGAGAGGTGATGTCAATGTCACAGAGATGAGAGAGGGCTGAACTCAGAAGCGCACACATTCATCCCAGGGGGAAGGTAAAGTCAGAGTCGCTGGGCCCACAACTGCTAACAACACCCACAGAGTACTTGAAAAAGCTGACAGGGTGAGTTTTCATGACAGGTATCATATTCCCACTCTCCTGAACCCTACAGAATGTCACTCTACAGGCTTCAGTACCTCCTAAAACTCCTGAGTGAAACTACTCCATATTCACTTCAGAGAACACTATAAGGTTTATAAGAGAACACTTGATTTACACTAATTAGTTACAAGTCTTGGAGCTGGCTTTTAAATAGCAGCCCAACAAATAAGCGAACATGAGATAATACAAGAAAAGACAGGAAGAAAAGCCTGCTGTTAAAGATAATGCTCTCAGTGACAGAAAATAGCCACTGCAACAGTGTACTGCAACAGTGACCCAGGTATTCTTGTTCCTTTTCTACTTTGGAGTGGTGGCTGCTGAAATTCAAATGCCTTTTAAACAGGCTTTGTTACCAACTTTAACTGATAATTTACTTAAAAGCTGTTTGCCCTTCATCCATTCTGTCCACCTGCTGTTGAAATAAACTCTCTGAAATAGCTGGACTCAACTGGACTCAACTTCCTAGCACAACAGGCTTTTAGAGAAATCATCTCTCCTGTGTTCTGTATTTTCTCTCTTCTAAGGCAGCGCTGTTTCATCTGTGTTATTCGGACTGATCCAAGGAGTTCTCAGCAGCTCATGTCTTTGCCTTTTGTACAGAGGTTACTGTAGGTATTAACTTGAAACAACACAGTTTAATTTATGGAAGGATGCACCAAGTTTTTCTATGGATAATTTTCTAAAAGAAAAAGCAGGGAGGACGGGAAGAGTCTTTGTGAGAGCAGAAGCAGGAAGCTTGGCATTTCATAATCTTTCTTTGGCCCTGGTGGCCAAAGACACAAAAAAAATGGGCAACGGTTTACGGAAGAGCAACCCAAAGAAAACATCTCAAATGAGGCAAGTGGTACATAACAGTTACTTGTAACAACGAGGCACTATCTCTGAAAGACTAAGTAGAACCCAGTACTATCAAAATGTAATGAAGGCACACTCATAAACAATGCTTCTTCACCAGTTGTCAGCTCGGTTTTACCGAGCTATCTTCAGTTGTGCTGCATCCATTCTGAGCACAGGTCTCTGTTCAGGTCCTCCTCCACATACTCACATGCTATCCACTCTCATCTCTCTCAGGCTTCCAGTTTTTTTTTTTTCTGCTTGGATTTTTTCAACATACGAACCTAAAACGCAAAGTTTTTAAAGAAAATGAAGGAGTGTTCAAATATCTGGAGTTCAAATACGTTTTCATATCTAAGTGTTCAAATATCTTAGACCTGCTAGCAGGTCTAAGACAACTAATACACGAGTAAAGAGTTGAACTGCAAAAAAAACCATTAAAATACATAGCTGAGTGAAACACCCACCCTTTCAAAGTGCTAGGATTTAACGCTTTTTACATACATAAATAGGCCCATGTAGGTATATGTACATAGTGTGTACAGAAGTGTGTATGTGCATATCTGTCAATGGACAAGCATAGAAATACACATGCATACAGGTAACTTTGACAGTCACCAGCCTTAAGACAGAAATATTTCTCACTGGAAAGCCAATTTAAGTTTGCATCTCTCCCTCCCCAGTCCCAGCCCTCAGGCTTAACATATCCCAAACACTGAAGTTATGATCCTCTTTTTAACCCATTTCTTGCCTGCAAGCGCCTTTTTTTTGGCAGCTCTCCTAATGGGGCTATGTGGTCTCTAAGACTGCCCAAGGCAACAAATTTCTGTGAATTAAAAAGGCTTCCTTAAGGTTACAGACAAAATGTTGATTTCACAATTTCAATACGAAAATGAAAGTTAATGCTTAGGTAGTCGATGCTCTTTTTCTTCTGTATATACACACTGAGACACTAGGAATAAGCAGACACTAGTGAACTCAAAAGCCTCTTTTTCTCAAGATTCTCCCCCCCACTATTCAATTTTCTCCTTTGTTGCTTTCAGACATATCTTTCCCCACCAGCACAGCCAGCAGACTCTTCTGTCCTCACTCACTGGAGTCCTACCACAGCCCTCATAACTACCATCAGCTTCAGGGCAAGCAACACCACCAGCACATCTCAGTAAGGGAAAAATATGAAGTAATCATTTGGCTGGAGCTCAGTTTCTACCTTCTTGAACACAATCCCCATGTGAGCCACTGGAGAAGGCTGTCAAACAACTCTCTGTAGAAATGGCTGTTCACTCACCCAACAATTACCACACAGTGTTGACTTCTGAAGTTAAGAACACAACTGATGAGCAACATAACAGAACAACATCACTGAAGGAACAAGGTCAGTTTTTTGAGACAAACTTAGAGCCATTACCTTTGGTCCTGCAGCAGAAATAATAATCTGTCCTGGGGCTTGAATCCAGGGCTCTCCATCAACTTGAACTGGAATTGGCTTTAGGAGCGTTACACGAAAATATGAGCCCTGGGCTATGCGGATGCCTGAACGAAAACCACTCTGGACTTGACCCTGTTAAGAAGTAAAAGCCAAGGTTATCAACCACCCCGATAAACAAGAAGCACAAGTATTAGCTGCACATGAACTGGGTGAATACAATTTTATTCTTACTGATATTTTAAGTTTCAAGTACAAGAACTGCTTAAGCAAAGTAGGCATAGGATGCCTTTAAGGATGCAAAATTAATTATTTAACTTACTTCATGGACAAGAACTCAGTGCCTGCCTGCTGCCAGAGGCCAAATAACTTCACACAGTTACTTTGGACTTTCCTCTTGGCAAAGGAGCACACACTCAGAAAAATCCTGTTTGCTTTTACTTCCCTCCTCCATAAAGTAGTAAATTAATTTAAAACACCTAACTAAGCACAGACTGTGGTGCAGAATTCCAAAATCTGAAGGTACATTATCATAAAACACAGAGGAGCTTTGCCATACTCAACTCCATATTCGTCTTCAACTACTGGATCAGCGTTAACCACAGAAGTCAACTTTGCTTCCAAAATTTGTCCTGGTGAATGTGTACAGATACCAAAACCTTAACACAAAAGTAATGCATTCCATGTGTATTTGTGTCCCATGCCTACATACGCACGTAGCCCCTGAACCACACTCTTTTAACATGCTCTTCATAGTTCTCACGCTCTTCATGCAGACATGAGTTTCTTCACTTTCCATTCTGTCTGCTGTTGTCTTACATCTAAATGTGGGTCTTCCAAGGAGGCTAACACACAAGCTACCAGGCCCTGCAGCCAGGAATGGGCACAGCAATTACAGCTAACTCCTGAACATCTCTTTGCAGACAGCTGATGCTGCCGTGAGCTCTGTTTATGGTCTATAACCATTTCTGTACTACATAACAAGAACCTGAACAAATAATTCTATAATAATTCCAGCACTGATGCATACCGGCTAGGACTGTTCACCTTTCAGATGCAGTTTATTATGAAAATAAATCAATCTGAGAAGAGTATATTTACCAGAGAGGCTCACTGAAACGTATTTCCTCTATTTGCAGCAGAGCGACAACCTACCATGTGAACAACACCAGTGACACCAACAACTTCCAGCAGGCCATCATCAATGCGTGGTTTCTCAAAGCGGTCATCACTGTCAGTGCCCCAGAGATCAGCTCCAGACCCCCAGCTGCACAGAGAACAAACACAGTGACCAGCCCACCTGGGACCTCTGCTCTGTCAGGCTTCAAAAGCTCAGCACTCTGCTCATCTCCAGAGGGAGGGAGAAGTCGAGCTTTCCTGCACTAAGAGCAAGAAATGCTCTCCTAGAATTTGGAAGCATTCTGTCGAGGTCGTTGGGGAACGAAAGAAAGTTCTGCATTTTGTGCAGCATTGACCTTCTTCATTCTTATAACTTGCTTATTCTTTAGGTGCACTGCCTGCCCAGTGCTAACCCTGATCTTCTCCACAGCTCTCGTATGCAACATATGCATGAGTGTGCACATTTCTGTGTGTGTATATAAATACAAGTGAACCACAGAATTATCCCACACTGGATGGGACCCACAGGGATCACCATATCCAACTCCTGGCATATGAATGAAAAGATGAAACACATTCAAAGCAGACTGAAATCACATACAGAGAGGTTTAAGGCTAGAGCATATTTGAAAAAAAAACACCAGTATGGCTGCACTAATGCATTGCTGTTATTACACAAATTAAAAAACATCACTCTTATCACCAGCAAATTTAAGGAAGTCACATTTCCTACAGCTTTCCTTCCAGCTCCCTGCTGGTGTCTGTGCAGCGTCTGCAACAATGCCAGCATTTTCAGAGGTGTGGGCTTTCCACAGCTATCCAGAAAACAGCATCACCAACTCCATACACATCTGTCTCCAGTGATGATACAGTTACTCATTACTGTTAGGACACGGGAGAAGTAGCAGCTGTACTGGGGTTTGCACTGGGAAAACAAGGTAGTAACACCTTTTATTGGAGCACGATTGTGAGTTTTAAAGGGTCAGAAAAAAACACTGTTAGAATGGTGTTGAGAGACTCCACAGGCATCACTGCAAGCCCAGAGCTTGGCAATAACCAAAATTACACTTTAACAATGACCTGCCAGTCCACACTGTGGAGATGCTCAAAGAGAACGCACCACTGCCACATGTATAGGCAGGTATGTCTCCACAAAGGTTACTTTCTCTCCTTTTTACCTGGGTATGTTAATAAAAATGAGTCCTTCTATGTTTGGTAGCTCCACCTCTCGCTGGTCAACCTGAAGCTTTATGTCCTTATGAAGGTTTCTGGTATGGCTTATCTTCTGCAGCCCAACTTTAACATAGACTCCTTTGTTGTGAAACCTAGGAGCAGACAAGCATCATGTCAGCACACACTAGCACTGTTCTCAGCAGGTATGCTTGAAGAGTTCTTTGACTAAAAACCTCTATGAATTCTTACAGCTTTATTACAGAAAGAAAGCTAAGCCACAAAGTGCTACCTAATACATCTTTTATTTAAGAGAGGAACTGTGCTGTGAAGGCCCGTGGAGATACAGAGATGCAGAGAGGCAATGCCTCTTTGACAAGTAAACTTTTGGGCTGAAAAACTGTAATGCTGGTTAGGACCTTGGAGTCCTCATGGAACATTCTGAACTGTTTCATCATGCGCTGACAAAATAATCAAAGCGCAAAGTCAAGGCACAAACACTTCTGAGTTTGGACTTTATGTATTGCTCATTCAGTTAAGCCAGGCTCAGCTGTGGAAACTGAAAATATGCTTTGTAGTGTTAATCAGTGACAGAGCTCTATGGTATCTAATTTTGGAGTAAAAAAAGATGAGGAAGATTTTATGGCATCCCTAGAGACGTCAAAATATTTTAAGTTATGTAAACAAACACTGGTCTTTTCTTCTACAATGGAAACACTGAGATATGCAGCAACCTTAAAGAGCCCTGAAATAAAAAGCATTAATTTCCATTATTTGACCCTGCGAGCACAGAGCTGTCGCTGGAATCCAACCCACAGAACATCCCTAACATCATGTCTGAGTTATGTTCGTGTGGTGACGACAGCCAGTTCAGCACGTGGCTCCAAGTCCACTCTCCAGGCAGAGACTGTTCAGTTCTTTCAAATTATTGCACTGGGAATGATTCACTGCACATGTTAACAGTTTTAAAAAGTTCTGAGAGAAAGATATCTGATGTAAGACCACTGGGCATCTGCCTCCACTCCAGACAAGGCCAAGAGATGCGTCTGTGCTAAAACAGGCTTTGTCTAATTTGAATGTATTAACTACAATTGAAAAATAATACAGCTAAGAAACAAAACACTTTAAGTACCCCCAAGAAATCAGAACTTCAGTTACATCAAGAGAGAACCTGCAGAAACAAAAAGAATACGACAGAGAGCTGTAACTGCAGACACAGTTCTCAACTGCGTGACTGCAAAGAAAGCACTATAGACCTCAGAGTCCACGGGACACGCTGGCACACAGCAAAGAGCAAAAACTGCCAAAGACAAAAGCCTATCACTACATTCTTCTACATGCATTCCATTTCAGCTAGGAACTGTGTCAGGACACAGAGGGAAAAAAAAAAAAAAAGAGAAAATTAGACTTCTGTATCATTACCACGCCAAAATCTACCTTGTGGCTTTGAAGGGGGCAGACTTTATGATTAAAAGTTAGCCAGGCTTGGGAGAGTGAACCTTGCACACCCAACTAGGCAGACTGCTCTTTTTTGAGTATCCTCATGTAGGGCATGATTTGGTGGAAGGAGTGCCAACCAAAGTCATCAGTCTGTTGCTAGTTCTGCTGAACAACAAACTAACTCCAGGTCTATGAATATCTAAATATCTAAGCTGTGGGGGGCAGAAGGGCGAGGCCGGACTCTTTTCAGTGGTGAGTGGAGACAGGTCAAGGGGAAACGGCCGGAAACTGCAGCACAGGAAGTTGTGCACCAATGTGCGAAGGAACTTCTGCACAGTGAGGTGACGGAGCACTGGAACAGGCTGCCAAGGAGGGGGGGAGTCTCCTGCTCTGGAGATGTTCAAGACCTGCCTGGATGCTGACCTGTGCGACCTGCTGTAGGGAACCTGCTTTGGCAGGGGGTTGGACTCGATGAGCTCTGGAGGTCCCTTCCAACCCCTACAATTCTGTCATTCTGTGAACTCGCCCATTTGGCAGAAAGAAGCATCATCTCCTAAAGTAAACCCAAATATAGCCTTCAGATAGTAGCTGAACCACATTTAATTGGCAATATAGGGAAGACTAGTCATCTTCGAAGCACTGTATTTGTGCTCACTGGCTTCAAGGTCTGTACTGCAACGTAAGGCTCACACTGCTGTGAATGGCACTGGGGATGAGGGGGAGAGCAGGGCCTCCTGTGCAGGGTTATCCCCATGGAGCCACGACTCTCTGCATAAGCTCGGCTGCAACACTGCACTATTATGTCACCCCAGAATTATTTGGAACGTTCTGGAGTACAGATACTGAGGTAACATCCCACTGCTCTGATTAGTGTGGAGACTTGGCCTATTCACAGAATCACAGAATCACAGAATCACCCGGGTTGGAAGGGACCTCAAGGATCATGTAGTTCCAACCCCCCTGCCTAGCAGGGCCACCAAACACACACATTCAGATCAGGTTGCCCAGGACCCCGTCCAACCTGGCCTTAAACACATCCAAGGACGGGGCATCCACAACCTCCCTGGGCAGCCCGTTCCAGGGCCTAACCACTCTCCTTGTATAGAACTTCCCCCTAACATCCAACCTAAATCTTCCCTCCTTCATTCAGCCCAGGAATGGCCCTTAGGTTTGTTTTTCTGCAAGCATTGCACTACAGAAACAGCCAGCATTCAAATACGAATACTAGGAATGAAGGCAGATGCCCTGATGCTCAGTTTTACACCGTGGGAACACTCTCATAAAACCTGACACCTAACACACAGAAATCACCACTGCCAAAACACCGTGCTGTGTTTGCAACTGATCACCGCTGCCCTGTGAGCTACCAGACCCAGGAATGGAGTCTGGAGTCTGCAAAGACACTGCACAGCATGGCGCCAGGGAGCTCGGAGTTCTCACAACACTGACCAACCTAAGATATCGAATCAGAGAGAGCACACATGCACATTTTCTTCCATGCAGACTCTGACTGCACCACCCAACATCCCCATCTTACATGCAGCACTGCTTGTGTGACAGCTACTGCTGCGTTTGGTGTTCAATCACCATGCTTTTCAGTTAATTCACTGAAAAAAAGAAGGGTGAGCTCATCTGGCTGGCAAGAGAGTGTGCATTTGCATATGCTGGGAAAGGGGATAGCAGCAGTTTTAACAGTTATCATTACAGACGCTGAAAGGCAGCAATTGTGCCAGCAGCATTAGTCTGCAGAAGCTGCTCGTCCCTGTGAAACAATACTTCAGCATCAACTGGTAATTCATACTTCTTTCTCAGACCCCGAATCACAGAACCATACAGTCTTTTAGATTTGCAAAAAAAAACCCCAAACCACCAAAGCGCTGTTTTTCCCACACGCTCTCCAAGATATTCTTGCACCATGTCCAAATAGGCATGTTGAAGGTCTGCAAGAGGGATATCAAGTCACTGCTCACTGCACTGCAGATGCTGCACACCACGTGATGCTAAAGATGAGACAGATTAAAAGCGCACAGGGAAATAAAGATCAAAGGATAACTCCTCAATATTGTGTCAGTAAGGAGAACATCAGTATCTTACTCAACACTTTAGGAGATATATGAGCAACATCTGCATTGATAAAACATGCAAGAACTGTGAGATCAGAGAAGATTCTTAATAGATGAGACTGGAACACTATGCAGCTGTAATAGCTTGTTCTGGCAACTGAGAGGATATTAGCTTGCGAACATATGGAGTAAAGAGCACTCAAGAACAACTCCTATGAAGGGTTACTGATTAATTACACAAATGTGATTTTTTTCTCTCATCAGGTTCAATAATTACAGGAACAAAAACAAGTGCTGTTATTGATTCATCTGCATGGTTTTTATCAAAGAAGGGCTTGGGCTGGAAGGAACCCCAAGTATCACCAAGTTTCATTAGCCAACCCTCAGATCAAGCGCTGGATCAGGTTGCCCAGAGCCCCATCCAACCTGGCCTTGAACACCTCCAGGGATGGGGCATCCACAACCTCTCAGAGCAACCTGCCCCAGCACCTCACACCCTATCAGAAAAAAACCTTCCCCCTGACATCTAAATGCCCCCTTCTTTAGTTTAAAACTCCTTTGGTTTTAAAACTATTTTGTCCCATCAAAATCTACCCATGTAGAAATTTGATTTCCCTCCTGTTTATAATCTACCTTTAAATACTGGAAGGCTGTAGTGAGGTTCCTCCTTCTTCAGACTGAACAAGCCCAGTTCCCTAAACTTTTCCTCATAGGAGAGGTGCTGCAGCCCCTGCTCATCTCTGTGGCTCCTCTGGACCCTCTCCAACAGCTCCCTGTCTTTCTTGTACTGAGGGCTCCGGACCTGGATGCAGTGCTGCAGATGGGGCCTCACAAGAGCAGAGTAGAGGGGACGATCACCTCCCTGTCCCTGCTGTGCACCCCTCTGCTGATGGAGCCCAGGATCCCATTTGCCTTCCGAGCTGCAAGGGCACACTGCTGGCTCATGGTTAGTTTTCATTCCTAAGCCCTTCTCATCAGGGCACCTCCCAAGGACTTCTTCTCCCAGTTTGCATGCATAACTGGGATTGCTCTGACCCAAGTACAAAACCTTACTGCACTGCCTCGCTTGTGACTCAGAGATATTTTAAAAATTGTAATGACCAGCATGCATGCAGATACTGCCACAGCACTGCATGAGGGTGGCAAACACACAGCGTGCAGCAGCATTGCCTTCCCTCCTGCTAAAGGTTTTCAATGGGATATTTCCACTAACTTGAAATTTTACTGAATTTGACATTGAAGTCATTGGCAAGTAAGTACAGTGAATAATAATAACAGGGCTTCCAAAAAACTTATCTTATGTTCTCTCTTGGAACACAAAGGAAAAAAAAAGGAAAAACAAAAAGCCAAACAAATTGTACGCCTAAGAGTTCATGGCTTTTTTAACTCCTGCCTGTTCCAGTTTTGCCTCAAGCAACATTATTTGTGAACACTTGTAGCAAGATTATCAGCCACAGCATAAATTGGAAGATCTGGGATACTACATAACTTCCACCTCCCCTTTTCTGTTTTCCCCAGGATTACCTGCTATTAAATTTCCCTGGTTCTTCTTCTCTAGCATGATGAAAGTCCAAGCTCAACTCTGCATCAATGCCAAGACCACAGTAATTGTTCATCTGTACAATCTGTCAAAAAAAAAAATAAATAAATAAAAAGGGGAAGAGTTATTTGTATTATTTCCTCAAGGCTTACATTCCTAAATGCAGAGGTTCCAAAACTCTTCAACAAAAGGAAGACCCACAGATTATTCTTCCAAGTTATTTGCATCTTGACAAATTCAGGAACGTTTTCCAGAAAAACAGCACTAAAAATAAAGCAGTTGTTTATATGTACTGTCATTATTCCCAAGTTATTACGAATTTCAACACTTAATCTTATTTCAAGAAATGAGTATAATAAGGCAGACATAAAAATAAATGCAGAAATAAAGCCAACCCAGCTTCTCAAAGCAAAGAAGTTCTATGCAACAGCTACATATAAATTACTAAACACTAACACCACTATTATTTTTGGCAGCAACCCCATGCCATGAGTTCAGAACTTGACTTCACCTCCTCAGCTGCATTTTAAATAGCTCCCTATATAACAACCTCAAGGTTCTGCAGATCCCTACTATTTTTCCTATTGATCCTGCCTTTGTATGCCAGCTCACTCCACAGCTTTTCTATCAAGGCCAGCCCTTGATTCCCACACCTTCAGTCTCTAAGAAGCAGATCAGGAACACTCAGGGCAGATCTAAATAAAAATACCCAGAACATCAGCAGCTTAAGTTCTCTGACCCACACAATGCCTATGACTTTCCAGCAACTACACAAAAATGCTGGACAAGGACTACCATTACTACAGCTTTCTTTTTTCTTTTCGCTCCCCCTTCTTCTACCCAGTTTCTTGATTCTGCAGAAAATAAACAGAACCAGTATCCACAAAAGCTCTGAAATCACCATTCACAATCAACGCCTTTATTTTCCTCAACAGAAACAAGAAATGCAAACCAAAGTTCAGGGCCTTTTCCTCCAAGAATATAAAACAGACGCTGCATATACAGCAGCACGAAGGCAGTGTGATGACAGGAGGATTTACCTCCTCTGTATTTCTGTAACTTACAGTTATTTTTTGAGCTGTAACAAGAAAGACCACACTAGTCTAATACGCAGTTTTTTTGCTCAAGTTTCACTAGTATTATGGGAAGTGTTTGGCCTCCCTTACTTGAGAAATGCATTTCTCAAATGTAAATGCAAAACAAATAGGCATGCCATTGACATGTAAATCTTCACATTAATGTGCTATCAGATACTTTTTGCCAAGCTATAAAGAAAGGTGTTCTGCGACCAACCATCGCACCAGAACTGAAGAGCTGGATCCAGGCACAGCACTATCTTCACTAAGAAATACTAAGGCCCAAGCACAGGTAAGTGAGCAGCAAGAGATCAACCACGCCAATAACTGCATTTCTTCTGACTTCAAGAGAACGAGTGTTTCTGCGAGTCAAACCCAAGCCAAACCTCATCTCACCTTGGGGGGCTCGGATTCTGCCATGCCATTCTCTGCACCTTCAGCAGGCTCTTCAGCATCCAACAGAATAGTCCAGCGGTCCATCAGAACGTCGTCTGCTTCATCCACAGAAACCAAGATGGAGTAGGGGTCCTCCCCACTGTAGCCAGCTCCCCAGCGCAAAACTCGTCCTAAGTCATTACCTGGGCACCAACAAAAAGCCCCAAAATGTGACAGCATTTTTAAGTTAGCTGTAAAGCACCAACAACTCCGTCAGCTCTGCTCTATAAATAACTGCAAAGTGCTCGAAGTAAGTCATGAAAGCAGCACAACTGGACTGAAAACTCAGTCAACCATAAAACATACCCCAGCATTACGGCTGCCTGTTGTGCGTTGTGTCACACACAGACATTCTGCTTCATTTGAAACATTCTGAAAAACGCAAAGGAAGAAACTGTTACCAAGTCAGCACACAGCTGAATTCACAGCCCCGCAGTGCAGCACTGGTTGTCAAGGGGAGAATATTTTGGCCTCTCCAAGTGCTATCCACTCGGACACGGCCACAGCAATACCGTAGCTCCTTCTCACTCAGGAAGCACGACCAGCTGGCAAGCAGATCCCTGTGCATGCTATCCACAGCTGGCTACCGAGTCCTGGCATCCTCAGCAGTGGTTTGTCAGGTGGATAAATGAAGGCAAACCTTCTGGAGGATGAGCAGGCACAAGGCCTCAGGCAGGGATCCATCTGGATTTCCAGCTGCTGGACCAGTGCAGAAGCTGCACGCAGACCAGTCAGCAGCAACGTGCTGGGCCACTGAATGCCTCTCTCTGAGCCACATCCCAGTTGGATAACTTCTCCAGGGACAAAACAAAGGGAATATTTACTGAAGACTACATGCATTTAACTTCGTGGCACGCACATCTTCAGACTGGGTAGGAGAGATCAGATCCACAGTATACTAGAAAACAAGCTTTTAAAGAATGTGGGTCAATACCTGCTGAACACAAGCTAATAGAACCCTGAGCCACGTGGGAAGATGTTCCTGCTGTCTGCCTCCAAGCCCATGTTCCCATGTTCATTACTTAGAGCTTATGCCCATGACAGTCACTCCTCCCAGCAATCAGTGCTCCCAAACACAACACAGAAAGTCCATGGAGAATGAAGGCAAGGTCTTCAGCACGCACTGAGCAGTCCTCAACCTAGCGCTTGTCCCAGTTCTCACCTGTTCCCAGAGGCAGGATGGCAACAGAAGGCTCTGAGCACACCAGCTTGTGCCTGATCTCCTCCAGTGCACCAAGAACCCAACCCACGGTGCCATCACCTCCGCACACCAGCACTCGGAAGGAGGGGACTTTGGAGAACGTATGAAACCTCCATTTAGAAACAAAGCAAAGGGGAAAAGAAGCGTTACAACGCAGTACAAAAAAAGCAGTCCCTACTTACGTTATTTAATGTAACACATTACAGCTGAATTCTTAAAAAAGAGTGAAAACCAGACTCTCCTATGACTTTTTGCAGCTGGAGACCAATTGTTAATCACTTGTTTCCTCACCAAATAGGTCAAATTGTTCATAGTTTCCAAATGAACATCTTAAATCTTCGCAGAGGTTTTGAATTTTTTTTTAACTTAGTCATTCCTGAGCTGCCAAGTGTGGAATGTTGATAGGACTTTTTGTTCATAGTACTATTTTGTTTGTTCTCACTCTTTTTGGCCTTTCATCCTACACAACAGGACAGCAAAATAATTTCTACTCACATCTCATGACAAGCAGTAAGCAAGGAGAAGCATTCTGCTGTACATCTACAGAAATACTTCATGCGGAAAGCAAAATGAACTAACTACCACAGCTGCAGTCTCAACTACGTTAGAAACATAACAAAATTACAAAACTCAGACCAAAAAGTTTGTGCAGCTTGTTTAACTTGCTTCCTGCATAGGCTACATTTCTCTCTTGAAAGCTTTTGTTTCGAAGGTTGAGTCACAAGAGTTCTTTGTTAAAAATGCAGTGCATAACGAGGCTACTCCAAGTAGGCTGCAATCACTGCCTTCAGTTTTATGAAGTGTTAACAAAATGGTGCTGATTAAATCTAGTAATCACTTAGTGCCTCCCTGCAATCACACTACGTTCTGTATCTCAGGGTGAGAAACGCTGCAGCTGTGACTGGGCAGGCCCCGTTAATTCTGCAACTGTGGCCAACTTTCAAGAGTCAAAATAGAAAACTTTATTATACTTCCCTGTTTGTTTCCAAGGCATGTTAGAAGAAATGAAAGCAAAAATGAGCATTTTTGTAAGGCAACATGACATTTTTCTTTTGGTATCCATTTATTTACAAAAGACTACTGTTTTCAGTCGTAAGTGTATTTGCATTAATTGTAGAGGACATGTGAGTTTCCTAGGCGTGGGATCTGTTAGACTTGATAAATGTACATACGTCAGGAACTAATCTGTTCTCTGCACAGAAAAGGAAAGTCTGTTTAAATACCAGTAAGAACCAGACTGATTCTCTATTCTGCTGTCCAGGCAAAGAACAGACACAATTAATATCCTTACAAGAACAGAATCTGATCTTGCCTGAAGAAAAGCCATCACAGAACACCTAACAAAGTCACATCAATAACCAGAAAAAACATTACAACATACCCAGGCAAAGGACCACCATTGGTAAGCTCAAAGACCTGATGTGGATTCAGCAGCTTTCTGAAGCAGTACAGCAGATCCCGACCTTTCAGACCACCGCTTTTTGGATTCACAAATACGAGCAGTGGCCAGCAGTTCTGCGGGATCTTGGAAGCCTGAATGAAGGAAAGAAAGGATTAGCCAAAACCACGACCAGGAAGGAAGATTACTACTGCATCTCAAAAGTCTTTACTGATAATTCCTTGATGCTTATGGAAAAAAAAATCCAGATTCAATTAAAAAAAAAAAGACTCAACACCTAGACAATTAACAAAGCTAGCTACTGATTTTATCTTTCTGGAAAAGCTTTCACTGATCCACTCCAACTATGCTCAATTAGTTTGGCCTAACGTTAAAATGAAGGTATCACCAACGCCTTTCTTCCATATCTTCAGTAAAAAGTACACGAGAAAGAATAGCGTGAAGGATAAGGTCATTTCTAGCGGCGCTTATTGACAGGCCAAGGCACAAAGCAGAACACAAGCAGTTCCATGTGAACACGAGGGAAAACTTCTTTATTACTACGAAGATAACAGAGCACTGGAACAGGCTGCCTAGAGACTGGGCAGTCTTCTTCTCCAAAGATATCCAAAATCCCACCTGAATGCTTTCCTGTGCAAACTACTGTAGGAAACCTGCTTCAGCAGTGGGGTTGGACTAGATGATCCCAAGAAGTCCATAGCATTCTGTGGTGCCATCCTTACACCACTGTGGCTGTCTGCTGGAGGGCTCTGCAAGTACAGAAGTGCTGTGGGCATCCTGATGCCCTTCCAGGAGCCACACTGAGCTCAGTTCCTGCAAGCAGCAGGTGGGGATCTGATGAGACAGCCAATCCACTGCACGGGGATGACGGGGAGAAATATCCCCTCTAGACTGGTCTTCAAACATCCCATCATCCATGACTTACAAATGACTCTAGAAAGACCAGGAAGCATGAAGGCATCTTTTATTCAACCTGTCACAGTGGTGGGTATAAACGATGAGGTGGGTATACATTAAAAGTCCATCAGGTGTTTCAGCAAGTGTGCTCTGAAACAGAAATGTCTGCCACAGTCCCTGAGCAGTGGTAATTTGTATTTACAAACTGGACAGTGTTCAGGGAACACTAATTTGGCACACAGCTGACAGGATGGTCCCAGGAAAAAACAACGGTGAAGAGAACTCAATTTAGACATGAATGATTCAGGGGGCAATGAAGAAGCAGCATGATGACAGCTTGCAGACACGTGAAGAGATCTGAACAGCAACAGAGGGAGGAGAGAGCACATAGACAGTGTGCTAACTGTCCATGCTAACTACCAGGACTGTGAACTGAACCTCAAGCTGCAGAAATGAGTCCAATTTACCAAGTAAAGGTGGGGAAGGAAACTGGCATTCACTGCTGAACTAGCCATGTTACTGCTGCATGTGAGCCAGCTCAGACACTGGAAAGCAAACAGTATTCTGGGGTTTGAATATTGACTTAAGAAATTTCCTCAAATGGTGCTTTTGTGGAGGAGCCAGGCACTAACCCTCTGCCAGATGCATTAAGATACTGAAGCTGCATAAAAATCTGTCTCCTCTGCATCCTTGCTTGCATGAGAAGCATCCTCTGCCATCAACTGTGACTGCTAGGCACAAAGAGAAAACACAGCAGAAGTGTAATGCCAAGCAAGTGAGAAGGCTGACAGAGGTGAAACACCTTTCTTCTCTTCCCCCCTCCTTCCCCTTGCTTTACTTTTGGCCAAAAAGAGACATTCTCGGTCTCAGACATAACTATTCTGTGGGGGCAAAGAGTCAGGAGAGCCCAGAACATTTTTGAGCTGCTGTTGGAACAAGAGTGGTGAGACAACCACCCTCACCCGTACTGTGAAGAATGATGAGTCCAAACGGGCCTCACCTGCGTGTTCAGGCTCCACTGGAAAGGAAAGGCACTCACCAAAGCCCAGTGAACAAAAACTGTAATACCTTTACGCCTGCTAAGTATACAGAAAGGACCCTTGTAGCCAGTAAAGGAAATCTAAACAAAACACTGTGTGCCACTGCTGCAAAAAGGAAGCCCTTCTTGCATGGCAAGGTCAGCAGCTCAAGGATGCTCACATCCAAGGAGAGGGGTGGATTTCCTCCCCTCAAGCCACCACAGGTATTATACAAACAGTAAGCAGAGGTTGGCTTTTCAGTCAAGCCCTTTTCATGGCTCTATCAGCCACATTCCACTGTGAAGGCTCCCCTGAATTCTGCCAGCAAGGAAAGGCGGAGTGCTGCTGAATGGAAAAGTTGTTTTTCTCTCTTCAAACCTTTTTTACTTCCTAAATTTGAAAATTTCACCTCCAGTCTTTTCAGCTTGCTGAACAGGCTGTCTGGATCCTCTGCTGTGATCCATGATCCAGACGTGGTGTGTAACAAATGGATGGGTGGGAGGAAGAAGAAGGAAAAAATGAAATAATACTCAGCTGCAAAGTAAACAAAAACTTTCACAGTGAAAGAATCAGAGAACAGAAACCAGCCCAAAACTTACACCCAACACCTTGCTAGAAGATGGATAAGAGCACTTGATTACCTTCTCTTTCTCAAGAAAGTAATTTTTAAAAATCCCGGTTATGGACATTTAGAAGAGATACCGTAAGCACACGTCTTGTACTGCTTGCTTTTACAGACAGAATCCACACACTGGGTCTAAAAGCAAGCAGCTACAACCACTCACAAAGAACCTCGGGGAACTGTGCTGATTTCTGAGACGTGGTGAATCCCAACACATCCAAAAGCACAGCTGTGTTTTGGAAAGTCATATGAGACCTTATTCAAGCCCCATAACATTGCAAATACGTATTTGCAGTTTCCACAAACCTGCCATCTAAATTCCGTATTTTCCAAGTGTCAGTACTGTACAAGAAAAAACAAAGGGCAACATCTATGCCGACTGCTGCTGAAGTCACAAGCAAAGAGCGCATGGAGCAAACAGGGTGTCTGCACGCAGCATAAACTGAAGAGTCCTGCCACACAAACACAGCCTCCTTCCAGTATCTTCCAGCGTAAATCCCCAGTAACAACCACTCCGGGCTGAAAGCGGCGATGCAGACTGAACAAAGCATCCTAGGAAGGGCAGAAGCCTTCTCAAGCGTTACCCTTACGTTTAACTCGCTTCTCACCACTGCTTGCGGTTGAAGGGCTAAGAGGAGCCGCTAAATCCCTCTGAAGGACCGACTTGTAAGAAAACAGCTTTTCTGTAGGTTAAGAGTCCCGGAACAAATTCCAGGCTTGCACAGAAGAGCAGAGCCGCCGCAGCAACGCCTGAAAGGCACAGGTCCCAAGGAGAGCTGCGCTCCGCTCCGCGCAAAGCAGTGCGGGATGCTCCGAGCTGGGACGTGTGACTGATGCTGAGGAGCCCCTTCCTCGCTGTGCTGGAGGAGCAGCGCCTGCAGAGGAGCTGTGTGCGGGCAGGCACTCAGCAGGGAATTCACCGCGTGTTTCTCAGAGGCCGCCAGCAGACGGCGTGTGACTGAGGCACTCTGCAAGGCACTGCACGCTGCTCGACTTGCCACGATCTGCACAGCGCAGCTCCGGGCTCAGCAAGATACCTGCTAGTCGTGCTAATCCCTCTGTGCTGCACATACTGTGAGTCCTATCAACCACAGCAGGGAACAAGGCGTTCTGCACCCCAGGCCAGCCAGCTCAAGGCCTATCTTCCAGGCTGCTTCCAGGAGCTACGGAGGTCACTCAGCAATGCGAAAATCAAACTTCTGCAATAAGACTGCAGCACCTCCCACATGCAAAGACTCCTGCTTCCTTTCCTCCAGGAAGGAGGGCTTGAACCTACAGCCCTAAGCAAGGTGTCGGTGCCATCAGGGCAGCAGCTGTGCCGCACTGCAGCACCTCCAGCAGTTGCTCCTTATCTTGGAGGAAACCAGAAGGTGGGAAGTAACTCCTTGCAGGGCTGTGGCCAGCTGTGATCAACAGCTGCTGGCAGATGTGACAATACCATGGAAGATCTGGGCTGGCTCTTTAGTAGGTGCACCAAAACCAGTGCGAGTACAGCGTGCACTGGGGATATCACAGATCAGCAAAGCACAGAGCAGATGCTCAAACGCTCCTTTACTTTTGTGTTTCCATGGAATTTTAAGAAGGCTTCTTCTGTTTCCTTCATCTGAAGTAGTAATTTGGAAAAATCACTGAGTAACGAAAACACCGTGGCCTTTCATTTATTACCAATTCTCCTTCTAAGACTCCAGATCAGAACTTCATCCCCAGTTTCTTGGTACCTCATTCACAAGATGAACGACAGAGCATACATCCTATTACCCAATTCTTGTGAAGGTATTTCCTGTTGCTGCATTTAAATGATTGCATACATGCAATACAAACAGGGCCTGGCAGTGTTACAGAATAGTAAGCTGGAAAGGACCTCAGCTGCTCATCCAGTCCAACTGCTATCACAGCAGGATCGACAATCACTCTCCAGTTTACCCCGGCTAATTAGCAAACAGCAACAGCTGCGTGGCCTAAGCACAAATGGATGGCACTTGAAATGTTAATCATCTTTACTCTTGGCTCATTTTTAGTGAGAAGACAAAGCATGAGTGCTGCTCCAAAAGTAATGCTTCTGATTTTATTACTTTGGCCCACAACAGAGGCAGATGTTAGTGGTATGGCAGCAGAGGTTACACATTCCCTCTAAATTTTGTTATCGTGACAGATAACAGCAGAAGGGAACAGTGATGTGGAAAACAAGCCATATTCTGGACAGCTATGCACAATTCATCCCATGAAATGAATAGCAACTCAGTTAGCTCATCCAAGCAAACTGGTGGTTTACGACCATGGAACTGTGCAAAAAGCTGAGCAACAGTGTGGCAGCATGAGTAGTATCCCAGAGTTTTTGGCAGGTGAGTCCCACAATGCTCACAGAGGAACAGAAGGAATGTCGTATGCAAGTCTGTCACAGCCCATTGAATGAATGCAAGTTGAAAGTGACATTTTCCTAGATCACTCCTTTATCAGTGACAACAACTGGTGTCACCTACAAGAGCCAGAGCCAAAACAGCAGTCCACAGAGTGGTGACACATGAATGCCCTATCAGAGAGAAAGCTTTAGCTGGAGCCCTCAGCAGGTAAAGTGATGTGTGATGTGTTTGGGATAGCAAAGGGCTGACCTGACTGAGATGAAGGGTTGAACTTCCAGAGTCAAGCTGCAGAAAAATACAGTTTTTCTCTTGCAACAGTCTAATACCAGGCCCCACAGCAGTGTGAGGTACATTGCCAACCATGGTGGGACTGTCCTGCTACACCCACTGCATCGTCTGGATTTGGCAACTTCTGACTTCCATCTGTTTGGGCTGATGCAAATATGGTTTGCATGGGCAACATCTTCCCTGCAAGAACACTGTCACAGCAGCTATGGAATTGAAGAAGGGAGGGTCAGCTCCACTGCTGCAGATTTTTATGAGCACAGCATTCAGGCTCCGGTTCATCACTGGCAAAAATAAACAGCTAATGATGGTGACTATGATGAAAAACAGTGTTTCGTGTCTGAGAATTTTCTCTATCAAATAGTGTTGATGTGCTCTCTGTATCTACTTGTAGAAGCCATGAAAATAAATAGCAGGCATTACTTTAGGAGTGAGGTATGCATAAACAGGATGTGCTCAAATAGAAAGAAAATGCACGTGTACACATACAGCCCTTCTCTCCTTTCACATCACAAACTCATCCACTCAGTCCCCTCAAACAGGTTTTCTTAGAAATAACTTGTATCAGGTAAATGATAGCATTATCCATGTTTTCAGTTCGACATATCTGATGTCAGAAGTCCAGACACACAATCAACAGAGTAGATAAATTCAACTTCACACACTGTACACTGCATGTAGGCTCATCTCTGTGCTTCGCTCTTTTTGTTCTGCTCCCGGTAACAAGAAGAGTTGAAACCTACTTAGAAGTAAGATTTGTTTCTAACTATCTCACAAAACATAACACCCGCATAATCACAAGGGTTTCTCTTCTTTTGGAGGAGGGGTAGTATGTCATATTGCCAGCTAAATGTAAGCACTGCCACTAGCATTTACTTAAATAAAAACACTAGCCACCAGAAAACTCTGACAAGCACAGGAGTCGTAATATAGTAGGCATGTAAGTATGCAGCTACCAGCTTTGCCATTGCTATTGCACTTGAGATCCTCCCACCTGAAGCTATGTCAGTTCCCACTGCTGTGAAGATTTCATCCTTCTGTGAAGTTTTAAACAAGTCAAAATAAGACTTTCAGTTCTTTTGCCACAGTACAACTCCAGAAAGACAGTAACTGCAAGATGCTCAGCAGAAAGCAATTAGGGCTACACTGACTTCTGGACAGAACCTATGTTACCTGAGTTCAAAATGACTTTGCTCAGTGAACCATTTCCCTCTCTCTATCCTGAATCTGCTTCATTTATACAAAGCCTGCTAGGAAACCACAGGACTCATAGGAAAGTGGGCTGTAAACACAGAAACATATGGAAATCAAATGTGAATCTATGGAAGGACTCTTGCACAAAGTCTAATCTCTGCATAAGGTGCAAATTTTCTTTTAGAAAGAGGGTTTTTTTTTTTTAAGCTGCTACAGAATTAAGCTAAAACTACGCCAGCCTTTTTGATCTTAGAAATAAATACGAGAAAAATGAAAATTCAGTTTTTCCGCCCTTTACAGTTTCTGTACTTGTGCTCACAGTTCTTCACAGTTCAATAGCAGGACAAGTGACTTAAGTAACAAACACATCAGATGCACGAAGTGCAAACGCTCAGTATTATTCCACATCCCACTGCTTAACTCAGGTCCTCCCCTGAAAAGCAAACACTTTTGCTCACTTCCTGAGAAAGGAATTGTGAAGGCAGCATTTTTAGTTTGAGACACGAGTTGTAAGTTCTGACATCTCTTACCATAACTTCTGGAATCACCACAGCATTCAGAGGCTTGTCATTGACAGTTGTATCCTTAACTAGCATATATATTCTTTCAGCTTCAGAAAAACATGAAATTTCGAGTACAACAGCTCCTGTAAAGACATGTTTGGTTTTTTTGTATTTCTTATTATTAGAAAATCAACAGTGTTGAATCACAGCAAATGTTTACCCAGGATATTTTTCAGTACAAGTTACTCTATAACATTTCTGGTTGCTAGTACCATTGAGATGGGCTTTCTGTTTTGTTTTTGAAGCTTTCCTTCCTATCTCCAAACACATGCCAGATTTTTAACAAGCAGCAGTTTGAGGACATGAAGAATTTCAACACAGAACTGATACACATTTGAAGACCTCCCCTGGGATTTAAAAGTAGCACCCATTTCCATACACTGCATTACTTAACAGCCTGCTTTCAAGCTGTGGAAGTGACAAAACCATCAGATTTCCTTTTCTGTCCTTTTTTAAAAATATGGCAGTACCATTCGCTGACAAGACATCAGCAGGAATTATCAGAAGCCAAGATCTTATCTGAGGATCGTTTTAAGGCTTTAAAGTTAGAGCTTCCACTGGGCAAAGAGAAGCAAATGAAAATAAAATACTGGGAAGTTAGTTCAAAGTAAGATACTCAGTGAGGGGGTCAGGCTTTAAAGACATGGCAGGACAAAATCAAAGACATAATGGACTGCATACAAAATGCAAGCTAGCAACAAAATTGGCTGCTATGACAACCAAAAAATGAGAGTTAGAAAGCATCAGAAACAAAAATATTCAGAAAGTGAAAAAAACTCACCATTTTTACAGCAATAGAATACACACTGGCAGTAACATCAGAAAGAAAAACACATGCAGGCAGGTAGACTTGGCTAAATGGAGCAGCGAGATGGGCTCTATTACAGATAAAACTATTCTCTATTCACAGATATGAAGAGAAGACACAGATGAAAGCTTTATGCTCTTCCTAATGAGAAGTCAGTATTTACTAACTATGTGGAGATAGCAAAGGAAGCAGAAGCCAGCCTTCAAAACCACCCTACAGGAAGATCCAATGAGCAGTTATTTGCAAGGTAAGCCTCCCAAAGCACACGGACACCAAGGCCTGAAAGCTCAGGAAAGAAACTGCACACTTTTCTTTGTGAGCTGCCCCAGATGCTGACCCACAGCTGACTGCTGCAGTAATGCTGCGCAGAGGCAGCGCTTCAGCAGCTCTCAGCAGCCCTGCCACTCCTCAGCCAGGTAACATCCGTAAAGCAAAAGCAAAGCAGCAGCTCAGAGAAGCCTGCTCCAAGGAAGAACTGCTGATTCTCTTCAGATTTCCAGCCACTGGATCCCAGTTCAGTATTATGCTGAGCTGTGATCTGTGTCAAACTGACCCACCAAGCTACAGAGCAGCACCAATTTTAGCGCTGCAAAGACAGAATGGGGAGAAAGCCCTCAGAAGTGCTTTAGGAGCACTGCTCAGCTCAAGTGGGACCTCCAACCTCATTTTTATGAGAGATTATCACCGCTTTCTGGTGCAGGTGGCATGAAGCTAACCTTTTATTAATAAGGTAACACTCAACCCCTGCTTTTCATAAATAGAATGTGCTAGATTTTATCTGTAGGGCTTTTTGCTTATGAAGCATGAGTAAAGTACTCGGAGCTTGAAACCTCTACTGTAAGGCTGCAGTTTTGAAAACAGACTTTGTTTGCAATACTTAAAATCTTAATGCTTACCTTGTGCTTGATAAACATGACTCAGAGATACTACGTTTGCTGCAAAGGGCAAAAATATAAACACATAAAACCTCGGGTACATTTAGAGTAAATATTTAAAATATTTTTAAAAGTTACACAAATACAATATAAATAAATACTAAAAGTTATACAAATACGTAGGGAATCTCCAGCTAACACTTTCCCTCTGCTAAGTTTACTTTGCTACTTAGAAAAGCTAAACTGATTTTCATAAAAGATGGGTATGTATTATCCCAGGCATTTAGTTTAATTCCTCCTGAAGTTACACAAAAAATTGGGAAAAACGCTTCTTTTCCTGAAACAAGAAGCTTGATATTTTCCTGATACTGTTTACAGAATGCGTGTTTGACAGAGCAAAATTAATTGCACTGCTTTGAAAAGGGAAAACAGATTCTTTTCACTGAGTGCTCGCCTGTACGTGCACACACAGAGCTCACGTTTCTCTGTCACCAGGGACAAAGGGCATGGAGAATATGGAGGACAGCTCATGCAAAAAAATCAGTCAGTACTGCTAAGGAACATTTACGCATGAAGAATTAAACTGCACCGCTATAATTTGCAAAGTGTGAGGTATATTTGGTCAACTTCTAAAAAATGGTATTTTCACTAAAAAAAAAAACTGGTACAGTCACATATAGCTCAAGTAATGTAGCAATCATCCTTTGAATAATGAGCTGTCAGATCTTTTGTGCAGCCATCAGCATGCTAATATAAGTAAAAAGCTCCCTTCAGGGTAGCTGGCAGACAGATTTTTTGTAACAGAATCACAAGGTACAAAGAAAAACAGTAAGGAGCAACAGACACTACTTTACAAAAAAGCTTTGTGTATAACGGGGAGCAGATCTCAGATCACAGCTGTTTACTTACTTTTGATAGCTAATTCATCCTTGAGAATATTCATGTACTCTTCAGGGGAAAGCAGAGGTGGGAGCCCACCAACAAACATATTTACTTGTACAGCGGATTTACTGTTCTCCACTATGTAAAACCTTGTTTGATTCATCTGGCGTACTGAAATCTGCAAAAGTAAAAAATATAGACATACGAATGACATGAAATTTTGTGAGCAGGCAACAAAACTCCAGATTCTTCTGCACTTAGTGACTACAGCCTCTACGGATGGATCATAAACAGCAACAAACTTTAATCCAAGCGTTTGGCTTCTCTACAGATGAGCCATGTGGGAGAGTAACTCAGCACTATTTTTCTTCTGTAAGAAAGGGGACCCCCCAGTTGCTATAAAAGAGGGATTTTTCTTCTCTTTCAGATATACCTTTCTTATGTCTTCGAGTCTGTGTAGAATCAGCTCCTGATTGTCCAACACCATGCGCTGAACTAGAGACAGAAAGAACACTGGTCAATGTCTGCGAGCAGTGCATGTTAACATCAGGCTCAATTTAAACACACAGATACATCACCAAAATTTGAGGGAACATTCAGAACACGGCGTACACCTAACATCAAAGAATACGCAGACCTGAGCCACTCTTGTCCAGAGACAAACCATGAAGGTACTGAATTTGTTCACAGCTCTTAGACACCTTTGTCTCTGAAGACATGCAAAAGACAAGCCATCCTCTGTTACGAAGCCAACTGCTAGACACTGTAAGACTTTAAAACTACATTTCCTGACAACTAGCCAACAATTCCTGAGAACAACCAACTTCCATACTCTACTGAAACATTAGAACAATTTCAACAACTTCCAACTGAAGCAAAGCTGTATCACCGAATCATAGGTGATCCTCAGAGAAGCTGATGATGATGGTATGATGATTTAAAACAGAGCACCGGAAACTAACCGAGATTCACAAGGCTACAATAACTTTATAGAACCGAATTAACTGAAAAAGCTAATAAAAAAGAAGGTGAAGCTGTAGTTCAGTACTTGAATCACAGTGATATTTATTCGGGAACAGGCAGAATATCTTTACACCACTTACAATCACAGAATCCTTAGAGTTGAAGAAGACTTTTAAAGGTCCCCCCATCCAACTCCCCTGCAGTGTACATCCACAGCTCAATCAGGTGCTCAGAGCCCCATCCAGCCTGACTTTGAATGTCTCCAGTTATGGGCATTCACTACACCTCTAGGCAACCTGTGCCAGTGCTTCACCACCCTTACTGGAAAAAGCTTCTTCCTTATACCCAAGGTAAATCTCCTTCAGCTTGAAACCATTTCCCCCTGTCCTATCACCGCAGACCCTTCTTAAGAGTCTGTTCCCTTCTTTCCTGTAGCTCCCCTTTAGATACTGACGGGCTGCTCTCGGGTCACCTCACAGCCTTTATTTCTCCATGCTGCACAGCCCCAGCTCTCAGTCTGCCCTCAGAGAAGAGCTGTTCCATTCCACGGGTCGTTTCTGTGGCCCTCCTCTGGACGTGCTCCAGCAGGTTTGTATCTCCCCTGCTCTGAGGACTCCCCACGCAATGCTCCAGGTGAGCTCTCACCAATGCAAAGCAGAGGGTCAGGATCTCCTCCCTCGCCCTGCTTGCCACACTTCTTTTGATGCAGCCCAGGGTATGGCTGGCTTTCTGGGCTGTGAGGGCACACTGCTGGACTCTTCATTGGCATGTCATTGCTTTATTATTTAGTTACTTCTTTATACACTTCATTGGCTTTATATCTCTCTCCGTGACACCTTACAAACAAAGGAATGCAGCACAAACAGGTGCAAATCTGCATAATATCTGCAGGCTCACAGGCTTGTTGAGCAATGCTTATACTGCATTTCAGTATTTCATAAGGCACACAGATACTCCTTGGACTGACCAAAAGAACCTCAAAAAAAAGTGTCCTTTGGACTTCTTCAGGACTTGAATTTGGTCTCATCTGAGGGCAAGTGCCAAGACAAAAGAGAAGGAAGGGAGCAAAATAAACGTTACACATAATCTTTCCTATATAACTGCAGTTAGGACATTTATGTCAGTTAAAGTTAGCTTCCCAAGACAAAGTTCAAAATATTAACATCCATCAGAAGCCAGTAATTAATCTCTGCGTGATGATGGAGAAACTGGAGGGAACTGTATGCCCACAGGACATGCATGACTGAAAATAATCACCGTCACTTCCAAACAAGCATTCCAACGTGATGATGAAGTTTCATTTATGACGGCAGGTATTTAAAAAAATTAACTAACTGTGACTGTGTTAAAATAAGTGCTTCAAGATCACTTACAGATGTGCCTTTGGTCAGTGCTCCTTCACTTACCTTGCTTACTGCCCATCAGCACTTCAACCAGCTTGAAATTCTGGAGGCACCCCGTCTGCCAAAAGATGGAGCACACAAAAAATACAAAAACAGTTTCCAAACACAATACAGTTTTGCTTGGTACTTACACGTTATGTTATCCACAGCGCACACAAAGAATGGAAAATTAAACATTTTAGGATCAATCTCAATTAAAACCATCCCTAAGATAGTCCTTCGGATTCAGCAGTCTCTTGCACACGCTGTCAAGCCACTGTGTTCTTGACTACATGGGCATTCTAACAGCCCTATAGAGAAAGAACACCCACCAGGCACTGCTAACACTACTGGCTCAGCGACCAGCAGCCCTGCTAGGCTATATCCACAGTGTATGTCCAGAGCAAGCATGCAGGACAAGGAATGAACCTGCTCTTTGAGAAGATCAGCCAGGCACCAGGCTTGGCAAAAGCAGGCTCCTCAGCCTTCATCTCTTGCAGCACTCCATCGGCACTGAGGGAAAGAATCTCTTCTTACGTGACATGTCTCTCCTCCAAACTGTACTGCCAGCACTGCAGGGAACACCTGACTGCCTCACAGTTAGAGAACAAAGGCCAGAAGTTCAATCATTTGCTAGGGTTATTGTGCCCTGGAAACACACGACACTCAGGACTGAGCCAATCTCCATTTTAGTATTGGAGACTCAGAGGATTAATGAACTTAGCTTGCATGCCGTGGACTAAGATATTAAAAGTCTCACCTATTACTCCTGATTTGCCTGAAATTTGATGACAGCTCTTTGGAGAGGATCTTCAGTGCATGCAAATTCTGGATATTAAAAAGTGTTTCCCTGTATGTACTTTCATATAGACAACAGAGAACCAACAGCATCAGAGAAAACTGCAAGTGCTCCAGAGAACTAAGTCTCTCACAACTGCAAACTAGCTTCCCAAATATAGAAATCTGGAGACATTTTCCAAGCCTAGCTATCACATCCATTCAAGGCCATGCTGGATGTGGCTCTGGGAAGCCTGGTCTGCACACAGCAGAGGGGCTGAAACTGAATGATCATTGTGGTCCTTTTCAACCCATGCCATTCTACGATTCTGATTCCATCTCGTTCAACTTATGCTTTTGTCCAGAGGTTTCAGACAAGAATTCCCAAGTTCTGTTAGAGGGTCTGCAACACCTGAAGAAAACTACTACAAACAAATCCTAGGATCATCCTGTGATGCAAAACAAGTGCTGCCACATACTTCACAGCATGTACACAAAGACAGAGGTCTACCACTATACCACCAGTTTCCAACAGCCAGCCATGTGCATGCCTCAAAGTGCCCTGTGAGGAACTGAATGCAGAAGATGATGGTTGCCCTCTGTGAGCACGGCTATTCCCTGCAGCAGAGGAAGCGTGCTGATGGCTGCTGAGCTCACAAACTGGTGAATGAAATGCACACACTACAGATTCGTGTCTCCACAGCTGTGTGTTTGATTCAGACTGACAGTGCTTTGGCACACTTACAAGTTCTACCAACATGTTTCACTAAAGCTGTACTGTCTCGGCACCAAGCGTAAAACAGGAAGGCTGAAAAGAGATCATATTGTGTGGACAACGTGTGCCTTCAAGGGATACAAGATGCACGCAACCATTTTGCATCGAGGCTGGAAGGAACAGAGATGGTAAGCCTTGTGGCCATTCAGCCTTGAGGTGATTCTTTGCCGAGTCAGAGACAAACACGACTGTCTTCGCAATGATTGCTGAAATTCCCCAGCAAGATAAGCAATGTATTTATATACACCTGTATTTAAAGACATATGCAGTCAGAGAAAGTGCACTGCATACATCAAAACTTGTGTTACAGGCAGATTTGTTTGACTGGGGAAGATTGATGTTAACTTTCAGCACAGAGCAACTAGGTCCACCTCTGAAAGACTGAAAGATCCACAGAGGATTGCCTAGAAAGCACTAACAATATCAACATTAACAGCAAATGGAGCAATAAGAATCCTTCTCTGAGGAAAACATGTACAGCCCACCTGAAGGTCACCCAGGTGACACAGAGACGTGTTTATTATCTCGTATTTACCTGCCTTCCAAGTAATGGCAGAGCTTCTTTGATCACAGTCTGTGTAGTGCTATTCTTATTTACTCGAAGAGAAATGTATGCCATTCCCTCCCTGGAAAGAAAAAAGCAATACTTACACTTCTCAGGACAACAATTTCACCTAATTGCACACCCTTCTTTTAACTAAATGGCAAATTTACAGCGAGTTTAGAAAGAGATTTGTTTCAAATGAAAATGTTCTTTAGTCAAATTCAGGATCAGCCACATTAGACATGCACACACTTTAACCAGTCTTTAAAACTGTAGCACTGCAAATGAATCTGTTCCTATACACAGAACTAAACGAAGGTCCCAGGTGAAGTTTGGCAATGTAGTTGCAGTATTAAAATGAGCAAATGTTTACATTTTATTTCACTGCTTTTAATAAATAGGTTATCAGCTACTCTTCGCTGCTAAAAATGCTTAAAATGTACAGTGTCAGAGGTAAATGGAACAGACATTTTGCCTTTAATTTTTCCTCCTGTTCTCACATTAGAAGTTGTACTAAATTCTTTGTAATTAACACTTCTTACACAAGAACATCAAGCTGTCAAACACTGTGTATCTGTCCTCATTTGTTTGCAGACGCACTTAAGGTAAAGTTCCATTGCCTTGGTGAAATGCACAGCAACAGAACTGAACATAACGTGTTCTGTGCATCTAAAAGAACCCACGAGCAGGTTTTCATGCACTGAAATGAATACTGTGTATACTTCTTTTTCAGAAAAGTAAGCAAGAGAATCCTTCAGTACAAAAGAAAAAACAGACACTGTCTGTTACACTAATGAGATCTCGATGACTGAAACTTGCTGTGCAACTACAGAGGACAAACGTAGCTAAGGAAGGCAACTTCAGAGTAATAAGCACTCACCACAGCCAGGCAGGATAAATTCTGATCACCTCCTCATCCTTTGGTTTGGCTCTAATAATCCAGGCTTCGGGAACAGATTCTCGGAATATTAAGCCCAAGTTGCTGTCTTCTGCAGCATCATTCCTGTTGATAATGTCATCAGACAGCAGTGCCTGCTGCGTAAAGGTCTGCAGCTCATACTCCTGCTGGTCATCATTTATATAGTATGCTCTCAAAGCAGCTTCCTACAGCACAGAAAGATAAATTATCGTATCCATGAAATGGCACAGTAATACTCATATAGCCACTGATGTTCATGAATACCCTGCTTGCAGAATTACAACATGTTTTAAGCACAGAACAATAGGGAAAAACAACAACAAAGTTTTGAAAGCAAATTTCCGTGGGAGAAATCAAAAGAAAAACTGAGTTACCAGAGGGAAGGAATCAGTGGAAAGCACCGACCCGAGCACAGTACTTTTCTCAAGTGGCAGTCACTTAAACTCCATGATTAAAAGCAAAATTCAGCACCAATAAGCAGGTGCAGTGCAGGCAAAATTTACTCCACAAGGAAGATGGTAAGTTACACTGCATTTTGCACACACACTCTGCAGTGAACACAGCCCGCTACGTCTTTTAGGAAAACTGGCAGTAATCTAATCTAGAATTATATGCAGCAGCCTGACAAAATGTGCTTAAAAGTAGCAATCCTAAATAAAAGTGCTTCCAGCCTGCTGTGAAAATTTCCGAGGAGACTATTGATGTAGAATGTTAAAAGCGGTTTTCAAAACTCCCACTCACTTTAAGCACACTATCAAGATAACAATTCCAATGAGCTTTAACCTTCAGTAATTCTGGGGCAATGCATTCTGCAGACTCCCACGACAATTGCTTTACGACCTGGGAGTCCTCATCCTTCAATGGTGCAACTCCCCATACACCCCCTGGGCTATGCTCTGCACAGCATGGGATCTCTGCTTAGCTATAAATCAAGAACACGTGGCTGAGCACAGTCATCTTTTCACCCAATAAAGAACACTGAAACAGCTGCACAGTGGTCATTATGCCATCAATAATTCACTACTTTCACCATCAAGCAACAGATGTCAGTGTTGAAAGTGCAACGGTGGTGGCTATGTAGCATCAACTTCAAACAACTAGTGACTTCCAAACTACAGAAGAGGAATGAGATCTAAGGAGCTGATTATCTCGTACACTGTACATATATCCTGAATACATCCAGCTCACATTAGTAAAATCAGACTTTGTAACAGGAGGAGAAAGACTGAATAACAAGTGATTTTCTGCTGCGTATGCTGTAGGACTCATTATGCAACAGACATCTAGACAACATCTACAGATGTTTTACAATAATTACATGAAGAAACCAAATTACATTAAAATATTCTAGACCACGTAGAGATTTTGCTGTTGAGTTACATTTGTACAATATTATGCCTTTGAATATTGCAATATATAAATTATTTGCTCCTTCATGGCACTGCAGTATAGACCTTCACTGGGTATCTTACCACAACTTCTTCATTTTTTGCAATCCTTGGAACTGAAATCAGTCGAAATTGATTGCGTTTCACTGCATCACTCCCATCAAATATCTTTAACGTTTGTTTACCTGAATGAAAACAATTATTGTATTTCAATAAGGCACCCCTCAAATCACAAAGCTACCTGCACAGGAATCATACAACGGAACTATTCAAAACCAGCTTTTAATCCAGCTAATTGCTTTTTCATCACAACTTACAAGCCTGAACTTCTTTGTTCCGTCGACGCGCATTTAGAACAGGTGTACACTTATGGACAAAATACAGAAGAGCATTTTAAGTAACAGAAAATGTATCTGGGTTTTGGTTAAGAGACCACAATGCTTATCTCATCGCATTTTCATTCTTACCATTCATGACTGCCTTTGTTATTGACCAGCTCAACAGTGTGAAAAACAACACCAAACCATCACTTCCAAACAGCTCCCACAGCACTGCCACGTCAGACAGCATCCCTCTGAAGGAAGACTGAAATAGCTGGTCCAGGTGACATGAGAAAGCAGAGGAACGGCATGAAAATGAGAAGAAAGCTGCAGCAACTGGAGCACTAGGGCACTTGGCTGTGCTGCGTGTCACCGCAGCCTTACGAAGGCCCTGCTCAGAGCACGGGGCGCGGGCTGCCAGCAGATGCCTCTGAAGGGGTGAAGCATTAAGGGGTGCAGACTGATCTTCCCACAAAGCTGAGGCAGGACCTGCTCTGCCAAAGTCCACCATAGGACCAAATGTTTGTCTTATTTCAGCGAGTCTTTTGGAAGCAGCAGTAAAGCGTGGTCAAGTTGTAAGAGAACAGGCAGCTCCTGAGCAGCTCGGAAAGCGAGCGAGCCTGAGAGTTCACAGCAGAGCTGGTGACAGAAGTCCCTGTGTGTGCAGTAGCGTGACAGAGCCGATCTGGTAATGGAGCTGCGCTGCGGTCACCATAAGGCAGTACAGCTGGTCGGAGCTGATGACTTGCAGATCTGAAACGCTCACAGGCTGGACACAAAGCCACACGGCTGGTTCGTCGTGCAGCCTGTTAATGCGCGCTGTGATGGAGCTGTACTGACATGGAGTGCAGCTTCATCTTTCACTTTCAGCTTAGGATGTTTCATGGTACTGAAAACCTCATGTTCTGAATTAGTACTGGCGTGCAGGTGTGAAGAGCTACACTGTTGAGCTATGTTTAATGGTGAAAAAGGAGAGCTGGAGGAGCAAGTTAAACAAAATATCAACAGCTCATTGCTAGGTGGTGGTTGGAAGAAGCAACCAAGAATCCCAGGCAGAAATCCATTGTTGTGTTTCTCTGTGCTGCAGTGAGGGCCTCTTGGTAAAGACTGCAGCAAATTACTGCTTTGCCAGAATGTTTCACTGATGCCCTGATAGCATTCACATACACTGTGTCTAATAGACGTGTTGGAACATCCTGACTCACAGGACATCAAACAAAGGTTGCAGGATGTTTCCATGTGTACTTTGTGACTCCCATCGAAAGCAAACACTGAGAACAAAAGGTTCTTCCAACTTTATGTTTGATAACAGCATGTTTTAAACAAGATTCTCACCCTGAAAGAAAAATCCCACTGACAAAGATGGTTATCAGACTGACACAGGTCAGTCTGCCTTTGCTTAGCCTTGTCAAAACCTCATCTGGAGGACTTCACTCCAGTCCTGTGGTCTTCAGGACAAGAAGGACATGTACTGTACCAAGAGCAGGAATGACTCATACAAATGATGAAGGGGCAGAGGAACAAAAGTATCTCTCATACGAGGAGAGGCTGTGCGTGTCCTCAGTGGAGAATGAATGCTCAGGGAGTCTTATCCACACATTCAAGTTTGTAACACAAGAGTGTCGGTGTGAGCAGAGAAGAGGCCATAGGCAGAAACTGCAAACATTTTTTCTTAGGTTGAAATGCACTGTGAGATTGGTAGAACACTGGAACACGTTGCCTGGGGAGGCTGTGTGTCCCTGCTCTTGAGGATATTCAAAACCCAACTGGACACTGGACATCATTCTTTGTTTTCCAGTCGCAGCATGGGCACATGTAAGCACTATCGACTCTCACTTCTGAACCACCCTTATAAGTCTACTGCCACTGCGCTGACATGGTAACAGATGTTCACAACTTCTTAATAGCAAAAAAAAACGACCTACTCGTTTTAAAGCTGCTGGATTAATGTCAGAAAGAGTGATATTATTTTAGAAACAGGTATCTGCCACAGTGATCTGCATGGTTACTGCAGCATGGACAGATTGTAACCAGAAGACACTGTGTCCCGGGTGACCTGATCTCGGGTTAACACGACTTGAGAAAACACAACAAACATGTTGCTGAAGCACAACCAATGTTCTGAGCATGACCTTTCGTAACACCATCAAGATCTCTACTGTTTTCTTTAGCAGTCCAGATGGTAGACAACCATCTGAGAATAAAAACAGACATCCAAGTTTTCGTACTTGTTTTCATTCAATCTGCCTTTGTAGTCTCCTTGTAAGATACGTCCTGACAGAATCCTCAGTAATTTTATCTGGAGGTTTTTATGAGCTTTCCACTTCGTCAGATCAGACAAACATTGCACAGGGCTGTCTTGACTTAAACTGACTTGCAAGGAAGAATTTGGATCTCAAGCATGTTCCCCTCACTGCAGCTCTGCAGTACGCTCAACCCTGCTTTCCTACAGTACAATTACTTATCATATAGAACAACTTCTATTTACGAGGACAAAAAAACCACCTCTAACTTCTTTTTCACAGTCCTCCTCACCGGGGTCACTTTTACTACAAACTGAGGAAAGCTGGCTTTCTTCTAGATGGGCTTCTGGGGACAAACAAAAAGCTGAACAGCTTCTTATTTGACCACAGTCACCTGGAAAAACATTTCTCTACTAATTCAAGTGCAAATCCACGTCGTGACTGTTACTGGGGTGTCTTCTGTGAGTCTGTATACATCAAACTAACCCTGGACAAGAAGACCAACTATAATCACTATCATTAAATAACACTCTCTCACTCTCCTGCTCCAAATGTGAAGTTAAAGAGAATGATAAAATTATGTAAGTGAGGTGCATGTCTCACCTTTTAGTACTAAAAAATTATTGCTAATGCTAATATTGCTAATAATGAACAAATGCATTGAAATGTTATAATTTCAAGGAGTTGCTGCCTAACTTATTAATATTTCACTGAAAAACACTTTTGCTTTAGAACTTTCATGTTTTTCCAAATGCACTAAACTAACAATACAATGTCTTTTCTCTGAAAAACATATTATTTATTATTACCTATTATTCTTGTGGACTAGCCCCAATAAGCAGCCGTGTTCCACAGGTTTGCTCACTGTGGAAAACAGAGCATCATCTTCAACTCAGCCAGAACTCTCAGCTGAAAAGAAAAGACTGCTCTTCGTGATTAGCCTTCTCAAGGGGAAGACAACTACAAGGTCAACTCCAGGCATAACTTACCAAATCATGAAACTAGTTTTACAAGGCCTACGTACTGGAAAAAAGATAAATAGCATTTCATGACTCGTATCCCGTGACTTAAAAAAAGTCCCCACAGAAGGGACAGCCTCTGAAAAGACTGACGTGTGGCTCACGGCAGAGAGCAGAAGATGGCAGAGTTTTTGCCCTTCAAGAAAAATACAGGCTTAATATCAAATGTATTGGTGGAACTTAATCTGAAAAGAGAGAAATTCTAGCTTATCAAGATCCATCCCTCCAAACAAAGCATGTGCTGTCTGCATGCCTTTTGCTCTCATGCAACACCCATCGCATGTGAATTTCGGGCTGTTTCATTATTTCCACTCAGAGTCTTTGAGGCAGCAGTAAAACAGGTATGAGACCTGTTTTTGTTTATTACTATCATTTTTCATTTTGTTTGGCTTCACAAGACACTACAGAACACTGATTCTTTCTTTTTCTGGATGCTTTTCCAAGAAAGCCACCAACAGGCTTGCCGCTTCCCTGAGCCAGTTTTCATGATCAGCTCAGACAGTTTCACAGCAGATCTGGATCGCAGAGCTGTGTGACAGACACTCTTTCATGCCCGTAGCCAACTGCTTACCCGTTTCCTCCAAGAAGATTTTTAGAACTTCTCCAATCACAGCTGTACATATCAACACTTCTGCTGGTTTCACTTGTCTTCCTCTTCCACTGCTTTAGGGCTCCCAGCGCATTTAAAGTGGATGTCAGCAGAACATGGGACAGATACAGTTATCTGGAAGTTGTTTTAGCAGAGCCCAGTGGCCTTTTTTATGGCAGCTGCACATTTGGCTAAGCATCTTGAGAGGAAAAATCTTTGAACACCCACATGTGCTGCCCTTGGTCACTGCTGAAAACAGCGTATTCCTGCATGAGAACTGCAGCAAAGGCTTCCTCTGCTCTGCCAGTAGGTTTGGGAGAAGACATTAACAAGCAGTAAGTCAGTGTCTTGGCTAAAACCAATAACAGAACATTGCATCCCACTTTGGAACACTATCAAATGACTGACACAAAAAAAAAAAAGAAAGAAAGAAAGACAAAAAGAGGGAGAAATAGCAATAAGATCTTCAGACAAGCCTTGTCACAAGGTCCCTTAAGACAGGTAGTAACATCAGCTAGTATTCTCTCCATACCCTTCTGGTAATGACGACGCAGGGAGATTCTACAATATTCCCTCTTGAAGATACTTGCCAGAAAACCTCTTTAAATTTTCAGGAAGTGTGTTTAGAAAAAAAATGCTTGACCTCCCTAAAAAAAGTATCTACAGTAGTAAATGTTTTGACCACCAGTCAGTAGGAGACATCAACGGTGAGAGGAAAACACATTGAGCAAGAGAGGGACAGGGTGACTGAGGGAGAACCAAACCAAACAGGCAGCAAAGCTGGGGAGCAAATGTTGTTACTGGGGAGGGAGGGGAACTGGGAGATGCTAGTGACAGACAGCTTACCAAAAGAAAATACAACACTCAGAAGTCTCAGAAAAGGCAGACAAAGAGGGCTGAGGGAAGAAGAAGAAAGAAAGGTAAGCACTGTCGTGGAAAAGTGAAACAAAACAAATGCAGCACATGATTTTTCAGAAGACTTGTTTTTCTTTTCCAAGCAGTTACAGGCAATTCAGCCAAGGAAATCAACACACACAACCTTTTCCAGTATTCAAGCCAGTACTTCAGAAAATCTTCAAATGCAGATTAAGGAAAACTAACTTGAGGAAGAAAAGTTTTCACTGTGACATCATGTACAGCATTTCAACTTGTAAGTTAATACCTCCTGAAGTACCATCAAACATAGAGGAGATGGAAAAACATCATCAATCATGCAGTACCTATAGTGGCTAAGCTTTAAAGTAAAAAAAAGCTGTTGAGGCCTTACTATATGGAATTCAAGTGCCCTCAGTGTTTTATTGATTACTGGGAAGCAACCACGGCAGAATCCGATGTCCTTCCGTATTCCCAGATCCTTGCACATTGACACAAGCCTAAGAGCCTATAACGACTCATTTTTCATTTCAGGAACTTCTGAGGTGGCTCCTCTGGGTTCAATTTGTTGCATGTATACAACAAGCCTCTGCTGCTTTTTATTATTATTATTATTATTATTATTACATTATTATATTTTCCCTCGCTATGTCTTCATATTACCATGAAATAAGGTGAATGAGTTTAAAGCTTGCCTCAGGCTTCTTGAGCCTGACAGGACACATCTGAGGTTGAAACCTCGGTATGCTTTTGGTTTCAGTATCTAAGTTTCATGATTGACTTAAAATATTATCAATTATCCTACTACAAGAGCTAAGAAACAAAGCAGACAGCAAGCCACTAATTCAAATTTTCTTCTAGTATTAATATAAAGACTTTGCACCTTTTCCCACTGGTTTCTTTTCTACGGAAAGAGCATGCCTTTGCAGGCCAGTACTATCAATACAATCTTATTTTCAGTGCTTTTGAAAAATAGCTATCTGCAGAACATGGAAAGCTGGAATTAAGAATAGCAACCATTTGGCAGAACATAATCAGTTCAGACACTCCTGGAAGACAGCATGGTAACATTCCTAAACCTGCAAAACACACTGTGTCGACACATAGAAACTAATGGATGGCTCACTCCAGATTCATATTGCACAGTTTTTGTTGTGTGTTGTCTAGGAACAAGCAGAGAAGGTCCAGCACACAATGACCATGGCCGTTTGGTATTTCAGCTGATTGGCTTTGACTCCCCACATGCACAATGGCAGGCAGGCAAACCCCAACAATTTTGTCAGAGAAGTTAACAGAGAAGGCAATCCCTACACCCTGACGCAAAGGCGTCAGCCCCACACCTCACCAGTTGAGATCACTGCCTATGGGTGTGGAGGTCTCTAACTGGATGCACGGGAAGAGCACTATGGGGCTGTGTAAGAAACACTCAGGGGATGGACCCCTTGAGGAGAAAAGAGGGACCGAAGTGATGTGGGGAGGAACAAGCATGGGAAACTAGAGGGATAAGGAGATAAAAGGTGCAGGTCACACATCAAGAACCTGCAGATGGGTGCTCTTCATCGCCTGCACCTGGATCAGTTCTGTCCTGTCTTCTCATTAAAGGCTCTTTCTCACTTTTGGTGTTATGGAGCTAGGTGTTATGCTCTTCTGTACGCATGCATTCATACATGTTTTTGAAAACAGCAACTGAGTGGGTCTGCAAGTCACTGTCACCCACATATCCACAGTACCCAAAACCCAAGAATGGGTCTGCAGACCAACTCCAAGCATCAAGCAGGACCTACTGCCTGCAGAATGAGCAGCCTGGGAGGAACGTGTGCAAGTGTCAGTAGATAAGGCACCTGGAGATGACAGCCACTGGAGAGGGTCCAGGCCAACTACTAAAGAACTTGGGGGTGTATCTTGGGGATCCACTGAGAAACCTGGAAACATGAAGCTGCAGCAGCCTCAACTCTGTGGGGGCATCAGATTTGGAGGCCTCTAGCACAACTGAATGGAAGCTTTCAAACATTTCATCTTTTATTCCCAAATTCTTCAAGGAGATAGCTCAACAGGGGTTAGCTAGGGATGGAATGATTCTACTTTCTAAATCCCAGCAAAGAGATTAGGATCTATACTGGTGTCTTTATTATGAAAACACACATGGTTTCCTTTAAGAGAACTATCATATTTAAACATAAGGAATGATTCTTAACATTTTCAAGGCAAATGTACCATCTGTTGCTGCATTCTCCAGTCCATACAGGATACTTGAATCAAAAGACATAACCAAGGTTATATCCAGTTCAGCTGGACATCAGGGTTAAACCAATGCAATGCTGAAGGCCAACCATGCTCTCTTACTTATTAGTCATTAAGAGATTGCAGCTTCAAACACTGAAATAAAAGCATACTTGAGATCACTGAGCCATAACTGAGTTAACTTTTTTTTAATCCAAACAACACTTCCAAATGTAGCACATTACCTGTGAAAGAGCTTTAAACAAACAAACAAAAAAAAAAAAAAGAAAGAAAGAGGATACAACCCTGTTTGTTGATTTTGAATTTCTACAGCAACCCAGGCAGCTGCACCAGGTAACAAGTATCATGCTTTTCTGCTTACTGCTAATAATATTGGGACTGGGCTGCCCCTTAAATCACAGCTGGCTTCAGCATCGGAAAAGTAAAGTTTTGACTAATACTAAGCCCAGAAAATATCAGAATTAATGCATTTACAAAATGCATTGAAAGGTGCCAGCCTGGCTCAATCCTGCTGCAGGGGAATACGTTCATTTCTAGTACACCATGCCTGATCAAAGCTATAAATTCACCTGGTATCTTCAGTAAGATTCAGATCCAGCTGCCTTCAAGGAAGAAGTTTTGAAAAGTTACGATGTCCGGCCTTCAAATTATTTTCCTTTGTCTGGATTTTTAACACTATTCCTTCCTTAGTTGGTTACCATGTTGAGTGAGATGGCTAGCTGGGATTTATTCCTTTTCAGAAGTAACTTAGTGCTGAAGTACAGAAGAGCAGAAAGGAAATTCAGGGGAACTAAATTTTGTGGCTCATTTGACAGGGTAATGAACAGATTGACACTTCTGGTAATCTGCCAGTGGAAAGCAGAGATGAGATGGCAGGAGCCCTGGATGTGTGCTGGACCTCGAGCTGATACCTGGCACTACAAGAATCACTATTAAATATTTTTCATAAAGTAAAATCAATTAAGATTCAATGAGTTAAAGACCAGAATAGGTGAAAATTTACCACTTACTGTAACTCTACTTACTTGAATCTGTTGAAATTTGGACATCTTTTGCTGGCCCCTGTGTGGACCCATCAATATCATCCCCTTCATCTGTGAAAAAAAGAAGATTGTAAGGGAGGACTCCTTCTTATCTGAACCAGGTAAATAAAAGCTGCTTAAGGTTTCCACAGAAGTTTAACACAAAAGAATCCAGTCAGAAGAAAGCAGCTCATTTCCTTCTGGCTATTTCAGAATAACAATCCATACCATGCAAAGTGTTAATAAAACACGACCCATTGCATTGTTGTGTAGCTACAGTGAAAGCATACGTGAAGTCTTCCCACTGTTAGCTCTCATACTGCAGTGTTCCACCCCTTCTTCTGACGTGACATTTGCCTATTTACCAAATTACGTACAGCAATTCCATCAGTCAGTTTCAAATCTTGACAAATCAGTGCAGGAATTGTAGTTCTGTAGGAACAGAAATTGTAGGAACAAAAGCCAACCCAAGTACTGATGGTATCATGCTTTTCATTCTCCCGCCTGTCCAAATTCTCAGCCTGTCTTGATTGGGCTACAAGCCAGGCAATAACTTTATAAAAAAATAGGCCTAGAGGCAGAAAGCAGGAAATTGAGGAACAAAATAATGGGGAAAAAAAAACACAAAACCAAACACCAAAACATGAAAAACAAAAACACAGAAGCATTAAGCCAGAACTTCAGACCAATAAAGGTGTGAGGGAGATGACAATCTTAATAGAGGAAATCCTTCCAAGAAGCAGAATTACAACATGTGAAATACAGTACTCAGCAGGAGCCCTGGAGACCAAGCAACGCACAGAACACTTGGCTAATGCTTCAACAGACGCTGGGAACAGCCGACAGCAAAGCATTTGAGTTGGGTTTTTTACGTACTCTTTTCTTTAATATGAAAGTAACTGAAATACTTTCCTTGTTTTCAGTGATCTACGGATGAAGTTTCAAACTGGAATGCTTTATACAATTTCACTGCAAGCAAAATCAAACTTCAAAAGAAGTGAATGAGAAAATAAACGAAAATAATTCCTGACCGCTTCCTACTCTCTTATTTTTCTCAGGTTAGATGGAAAAGAACTGGTATCTTCCTTTTATGATTTCTTTCTCAGTCAGGATAGCAGGGAAATCTACACAAACAGCAACGTGAAACTGCTGTAATGAAGTTCTCTGAACACTTCTGAAATACACTAAGGCAGGAGACTTGTGGGGCAGGCACGGAATGGCACGCATGAAACTTCAGTCTCAAATGGAATCTAACATCAGATTACATGGCCTTTCCCCTCTCATCCCACGGTGAGTTACCATTATGGTATCAGGCTCTTTTCTCCTCCTTCATAAAGCCCATCATCTCCTCTGAGCTGCTGTGTGTGTGAGAAGGAACGCAGAGGCTCCAGCACGGATGCATCCAGGCTAACAGACACCAGCGATCTCACATCACTTGATTCAGCATTAGGCTTGGGATGAGAAGACCCTCTGAGGGCATACTGACAACTGACCAATCCATCCACAAAGCATTACTGTACAACAGCACCAGGGCACTTCTCCTTCCCCTCCACTCTGTCCCTGACCTGCTAACGGCTGATCTACGCAGCATTCTTCTGATTCAAAGTACTAGATGTACATTTTAATTAAAGGAATGCAAACAACATTATTACTACAATACCTCGAATGTGAATAATAAAACCCGTACGTTAACAAGTGCCCTCTACACTGAAGTGAAAATCTTTCCCTTTCATCACTTAAAATAATGAAGGAGAAACTAGAAAGCACAGCTGTAGCCTTGGATGCTTCCCATCATGCTGGTCTGCATTCAAGTTTCATATAGAAGTGATTTACAAATTAAAAAAAAGAGCTGAAGTCCGACAAACTAAAAGAGTACACCACTGTTTCAAAGATAAACTTGTTTAGTATCACAGACACCAGACCAAAACAGGCTGTTTAAAAGGCTCTTGATTAACTTTTGTTAATAATAACAAACGTTCCTTCACTAAAGCTTTTGGGAGACTTGTCAAGTACCAAACAACACACAAATCAAGATTCGTAAGGACTTTCCTAGTATAAACGAGCTCATCTGGATTATTTATTTCTGGTATTAAACTGGAAGAATTAAAGATTGCATCGCTTCCAAGTACGTACTGTACTTCCCCTGGTGAGGAGGCAAATTCATTAAAAAGAACAATAATTCACTGAGAAAAATCAGGCCCAGCAAGAAACAAGCCAAATAAGACTCCCCCTGACCCTGCACAGTCTCACAGCTCATTTCAGTGTATGCACACTGCATAGGCTTAGCATTGTCCTGCAGGAGCATCACTGCTGCTATACCTTCTGAATACAGCAGCACATGGTTCCTACAGCACATAACTGCCAACAAGCACACTAAATGCAACCCCAGAACGGAGTTCGAAGCAGAAAGCTCAAGAGCAACCTGTCAGACTGAGAAAAGAGCAGCTGCAAACATCCGACTTTCAAGACCTGTATTTTACCTACTTTGTGTATTGTATTCAGAAACAGAATCAAAATATCAATCAAAAAATACTTCAGTGGTTCAAAAGAATTCCCTTGATCCTAAAGAGCTGTTAAACAAACATACACTCTAGATGGCAGCAGAACATTACCCTGCTAAATACATGACTTTCAGCACAGAAGCACTTGAAGAGAGGCAAATAACAATATTCTTACACATGACAAGCTAAGTAAAAAGCAGGTATATCGGCAAGTGTTTATGCAAACAATAATCTGCTAGGAAAATTTCTGGAGTTTAGATTTTTACTTTCTGTATGCTCACTACTGAAGGAGCAGCTTTCCCATTGCCCTGTGGCAGCAAACAGAAGTTTCAGCAGTTTGCACACCATGCATTTACAACCCCTACCCTGCCCATCACATCAGCAAAAAGCTATAGCACTGCCACAGAATCAGCAAAAATCAGCCATTGTGGGCTCCGGAGGACGAAAGCACCAGGTTAACCACACACATCAAGTAGCTGAACGCAGCTTCAGAAGCTTTTACCTGATTCTGTTTGCAGGTTTTCTGATATTCGAAAGCAGTGCAGCTTGCTGAAGTTGCGAGAAAATAACTGCACGCAGCTCGGAGGAAGAATCATGTTCCTTAATCGTCCAAAGGTACACTCTGGTGAGACAGCTACGTAGCAAGCAGCATGAGCCTGTGAACAGGAGCATCAGTTAGACATCATCTGAAACACCAAGAAAGCGAATGTGTATGTAACAAAATATGTTCTGCATTGGCAAAAACCTGGCGAGGATGTTTACAGACCTTTTGTAAGTCACTTTCTTGACATCAGCCATTGTTTCACACTAGGTTTTAATTCTGTTCCATCGAGTTGTTAAACGAGGAACGGTGGAAAGTTTCAACAAGTGAAGAAACTACAAGTATGACAAATCTGCTCTGTTGCAACCTAGTAAATTTTAGACAGATATCTGGAAAAACTAGAATTCTGATTTCAGGCCGTGATCTTCTGTCCTACACGGATGCTTCCTGAGGTACATGAGAAAGGCAGACAGCTTAAACTGAAGAACTTTTAAATAGCAGTAACCTGATTTTAGTGTAAGCATATAGGCAACTTGCTGGCAAGTACTAGCTTGCAAAATTCTGGGGTAAGATATGTGTGAAGTTCTATTGCAAGACACATCTGGCCTGCTTCTGTCTTTTTCATTGTCCTAGATGCTCCACTACTGTTGACCACGCATGCCCTGTAACTGTGGCCATGCTGCGCATCACGTTGATGAGGCTGTTTGCAGAGAGCTCCTGCCACCTCAGAAATCATGAATCAGATTCCAAATACGAAAAAAGCTACTTTTAAAATAAATAGATAAATGATTCAAACAATATCTGAAATATTGCACAGCGTCAGGCTTCCATTTCAAATGATTGCCACATTGTGTGCCTCACCCTGCATTCTATGACAAACTGACTTAGTTCACCAGATGCACATCTCAGTTCCCACCTGCATGTGGTGCTAATTTACACCGCAATCATCTTTCAACAAAAGGTAGTATTCAGTTGAGGGACTAATTCTGATCTGCACAGCAGCTTGGCATTCATGAAGGCTACTGAAGGACACAGTCACACTGCAGAGGAATCAAGCGTCAGTGGTGTGGAAGGAAAAAAAAGACAGAAGCTGGCGTTTGCTACTGAAAATGAAATTCCAGGTTAGGGCTATTCGGTACTGGCAGAGGAATATGCATATTGGAATGTAACTCTGTGACCTTTTGGAACACGTGTGAACTAAAAGAGCTTCAGATTTTTGCATCAAAATTAACTGCGTGCTTACAAGCTGAAATCTTTAAGCATAAGTTAGCCTCCATTTAATTTTAATTCCATTGTTCATACATTAACTGTGATTTTGCAAACTGCTCATGTTAGTGCCTAAGGGGAAACAAAAAAACAAAACATTTTCTTCCTATTTCATAAATAGGCTGGAAAGAACCTTAAGGATTATCTAGCCTAAGTTCCCCTGCTACGGGCAGGCATGGCACCAACTGATATAGACAGGCACGCACGTAGGTATTTCACATATGCATACATTTTCCATATATAAAAATATACCTGGTTCCCACAAATATACCCAACAACGTACCAGGATGCCACACCATTCACATCTCATGCCAGACAGCACCTCAGAAGAGCCACAGGTTTTTTTGCAAACTTCACAACGAGCTCCTGAAGGAAGGTTTCCCTCCCTCCAGTGGTGATGGTAAGTGTCCTGGTAGGAAACATCACAGCTTAGCAGGATTACACCTGACAACAGCTACAGACACACCTTCAACCTAATTTTAAATGAGTAACTCAAAAACCTCTAAGAAAGCAGATCTGGAGTGTTATTTTTTCACTAAAAGTAAGATCCTCAACAATCTTGTATTTCACAGAAAGAACTTATCAAACTACCCAAACATTTATTACACACTGCTTTGTCTCTGCAGTCCACCAGAACTAAACATTCGTAAAGATTGAAAAGTCAGTCGTGGAAGAGCAGTGCTGCACGTGTGTTGGGCAGTGGGAAGTCAGGAAGTCTCATCTCTGACAGACTGCAGGAAGACAGAAATGTCATAATATTCACCAGGGAACAGCTTACTCTACAGGAAAAACATAATTTCATACCAACTTCTGCAATGTAAGTATTTAGAAAGATGCCGCATATTGGTTTTGGCTTTTAATTAGGACACTGTATACACTGCGCAGACTTTTCAGCAAGAGTTCTGCAAACCTCGAGTTCAACTCACTATCTGCAACACATTCCATAGCCACCAGCTGCAAAACAGCTTTGTTAACTGTCAGCCTGTGCAAATTAAAAAAAAAACAAACACCCAGAAAACAAAAAACAAAACGTTCAGGACTCTTGTCTCCTACGCCTCTAGCCCTTGTTTTTGCAGTGGAAATGCGTGAGCACTTTCTGCAGCAGACAAACTGACACTTACGTGGTCCTGGTGCCCATCCTGGTGACACTGCCGGCAGTCACTGCAAGCAAACAGGATGCAATCTGTGTGGACATGCAGCTCACAGACTGAAATGATGAAAACAACACAATCAGAGTCTCTCGGCTCCTGCAGCTCCTCTCTTCCTTCCTCCCTCTCTCCTATACCATCTCCAGTACCTTTCTGCAACATATTTTCATCCTTTCATGCTCTCTTCTGTTCAGCAAAGACAGGCAATAAAAGATTACCAGCACTACCCTGAGTGTGGCTCCGTTTCCTTTGTGTTACATTAATGCACCAAATGTGAGGAAAGGCTGAGCTAACTTTGCTTACAATTACTACTTGCCTTTTCATACAGCAAGCTGAATTTGTTGCAACTGTTTGGCTTATTACGGCTTTGTATCACCTTCTCATGGGAAGAGCTGCCTGCTGTAATTTTCTCTCTCCTGAAGTCTATCCTGATTTAATCAAATCCAAAAAACTCCATGTTAGAAGCAGGAACAGAAAGTTCTGCATCTGAACATCAAGTATTGAGCCTAATGTAAATGATCTTCCTGAAAGCAAGCTCCAAGCCCTTTCCAAACCCAAAGGATCCCCAGCAGGTGAGGGGCAGAGTGCAGCGCCCTCAAAGCTTCATTTGCTCAGGAAATAAATCCTCTTCATTACCGGATGAGCACTGAATTTTAAACTCATCCAGAAGAAACAGGTACATTCATCCTGGAAATCTGTCTAAGCTATGACAGCACACTGCAAATCACAGTTTTGTTGTCAGGAAAAGGAAAATGACACTTTTTCTCGCAGCTTTCTGTTAAGTAGGCTTCACACTGCCTTCCAAAATACCTGAGATACTTTGGCCAGAAGATTTAGTCAAGCCTGAGTGTGTTGGGTAGGTTTCTTTATTTCTTAAAATCTAGCTTGATATATCAGATGTGAAAAAAAAGAGTGCATAGGAAGAAAAAAGTTAAAATAGCTAAAAAAACCCCAAACACAAAAAAATAGCTAAAAGACTTCAATATCTAGCTTCTATTGCAAAGAATATCTATTCTATCTATCACAAAGGCTAGGCCAGTTCTCTAAGGAAGACACACGGATGTATGAAAAAGAAATATTTCTAGCTGCTTTTTAAAGCAGCTTGTCTACACGAGCGCTCTGGGAAGGCATTCAACTTCTTGGTTAAATATACAAAAGTAAGAGGAAAGAGTCAAGATTCTCCAAGTGTAACTTTTTTCACTGTAAATTGATCCATTGGTGATTGATCCAAGCATGTTGCAACAGTCTGAAGAGTGCAACCTGAAGACTGAAAGGCAGAACTGCAAATGTTATCTATGCTACCAGAAAGCACCCTGAAAACAGTATTCCATCTCCTGATGTGTAATACCTCATTTTGAAAGAGCTCTGGAAAAGGTGGTTGCACCAACACTGCGTTACTCCAGCCCTGAAGAAAGCCATCATCTGCCACCACACTGCAGCACAGCCATCTCAATGTTCACGGGCAGTTCTCCTCCTGGGGACTCTCCTGAGCTCAGCAATCTTACCTGAGCTGTGACACAGTTCCTCCTCAGCTCATGCTCCCCCCTAAACCGTGCTTATAGACAGAACAGGCATATTTTACTGCTCAATAAATTCAGCCACTAGGAAAACTAGGTGCTTTGAGTCACAGCTTCGCTAATGGCAAAGGCTTCTGTCGACCAGATTATGGCTTCAAGGAATTAATGAAAACCTTTTCTGTATCATTAACTCTGCTAACACAGCCACACACTGCCCTCTGCAATCGCAGGTAAGAATACAGAAGGTTTTAAAAGTATTTTCTCCCCTGGTGCTACTGACACCAACCTCCACTCACAATTAGAAAGAAAATGTGTGCGTGTGAAGGGCAGGAGTCAGGGGAGCAAGCCCTTAAGGCAGCAATAACACTGATGGCAAAGATAAGGCTGTTCACGTGTAAAGAGCCATTCCAATCTGCATGCCTACCAGTACCATCTTTAGCAGCACCTCCATAACCTACACAGCTCTCTAAGTCATAGTGGAAGGTTTTCCATTCAGCTTTATCATGGAAGTGCTGTGAATGTATTTCAGAAATATCAACTTGATAGGACAACCTTTAAAAAACTACCCAGGCTCCTCAAAAAGATAAACAAAACACACTCACTAAGTAGAAGTTCACAACTTACTGTTCCTGAATGATGCTTGAAAAGAAACTATTACAAAGCAACCAATATTAACAAATGTTTGTGTTGGCCTCCTATTTCCTCTTTTATTTCCATTCCTTTTTGGAAAGGAAAGGAAAGGAAATGGGACATCCAGCATCCTGAGTCCAGGTTGAAGAGTTTTTAGTGAACGCTACAGCAAGAACTGCTATTAAAGCAGTTAATAAACGCCAGCAGAGATTGGTTCATGTACTTCATAGGCAAAAAAAAAAAAGAAAAAAAAAATTTGGTATCCAGTCTTATCAAGAGTTAAGATGCATAGATGCTAGTTTCTGAAAACAGATGCCCTATCACACAAACACAGTGTTTGTCTGATAACTTTCCTTTAAAAAGAACACAAAACCAAAAAAAGGCATTGCAAGGCACAGAGAGCCTAAAGCACCCTTTGCCAGTTGTTTTGAAAGTGCATCCAGCCATGTCAGCCTTTTGCTTAGAAAAAGTAACTTCATGTTAGCAGCACTTTCTGCTTTAGTTTCACCAAGTTTTCCAAGAATAATTCTTCACACCTCAACATCAAAGGACAACATCATAGCCAACAGCAGACTTGTAGCATCAAGCATAGTCACCACAAATCAGCAAGAAAGGAAGCAAGTCTAACATCCACATTTGAAAGCTGATTTCTAAAACAAATTCTAGAATCACTTTTGGAGAGGAAAGAAAGGATTATTTCTTTCCCATAGATGTTACTAATCTCAATAGAGCTACATTTTTGAAAAGGCAAAGAAATAAAAGTTGTAGAGCAATTGGTATTCAGAACACGGAACAGCAAAGTCACACCATGCAAAACAAAAACAATCTGTTGAATCCACGGAACATAATTCAGAAACCTCAACGAATGAGAAAAAAATGCCTACACATTTATATTGCCTAACTGTGGTTTAGGTGATTTCACACGTTTCTTGGAAGCCTCTGAAAAAAACACTCACTTGCAACAGGTACAAAAGTAATACAGTATAATTAGGATTGTAAGAAGGCAGGGGTTGATGAAGGCAAAATGTATAAAGCCTGAAGTAAGACAGATCACTACGGTAAAGCTCTTTCCAAGAGTTCAGAAGACACAGCTAGAGAAAGTTTTCTTTCCAAATTCTTGGTTTATTTCATGTCATGCCAGTTTTGAAAGCTATTAACAACAGGTCACAGGAAAAGACTCTGTGCTATCTGTAGCTCCTTGACCATCCCACTACAGCAGCCAGCTCACACGCAATCTATTCTGAGTGACAGATTCAAATTCATCAGTAGAACAAATCTTAGATTTGTTATGCAGCTCACCAGACAAAAGCTGAAGCACAAAAAAAACCCCCACCAAAAACAACAAACACAGCATGATTTAAAGTCTACATTCTCTGATCAAAGGGAAAAATTTTCCCTACACGTGCACCTAAGTGACTGCATCAAGTAAGACATCATCTGCAGCACAAGACCCATCCTGAAAGCATCCCAAATCTATCTCAGGAGGCTTTTAAAAGATAAAACAAACAACAAAACAAAGCCAGAAAAAAGAACAGTTCACAGCTAGCATTCATTTAAAACACTACATTCTATTGAACCTCAGAACATCGACCTAAGGAAGATCAACAGAAGTTTGTGACAAGAGTGTAAGGGGAGAATCCCATCAAAATCAGTGAAGTACCTGTGCAAACGTATGTTTCAAATCAGTGAATTATGAAATCATGGTGCTTAGCTGATCTCTTAAATTACTTTTTTAAAGAGAATTTATGGCAGAACACAAAGAGTAGTTCTACTTTGATAAATAATCAGGTTTCTTCCCACAAAAGGCACTTCATTCCCCTTGAAAGCAGCAGACATCCAAGACAAGTGACACACAGTTATAGTCCATTCTTCTGTAGAAAGAGGAAGGTTTCAGAAACACAAAAACCTGAAGTTCCATGCAACAAAAAAGAAATTATTTCAACAGAGGAAGTCTTTACTTAGCCATAATAATTTCTCATTCTTTGCATGCCTCTCTCACATGGACTTACAGCACATCATCAACACCACAGATCTGAGGTGCCTTACATTTTATGCACACATTTCCACTGCCAACGAATGGATAACAGAATCTCAAAAACACAGTGAGGGCATTATGGTACACACGTACATATGTACACATGTGCCTGTGGATACACGTGGATGTGCATACACACAAGCAGGGCATGCAAAGCACTCATCCCTGGATGACATACACACTACTGCACGGCTACACAGATGGAGCATTTCAAATTACCTTCGCATCGAAAGGCAGGTGACTCCAGTGACTTCCTGCACACCGTGCAGAACTTTCTTTTGTAATGCCCTGGAGGCCCAAAACAGTGTGCAACTGGAATCTGTCGAAGAAGAACACATGGAACATCGTCAGCTGCAGCTTTCAGAACAGTATTCATGGCCGACAGAAGCTGCTCTGTCGTGCAAAGCAGGGCAGTATATATAAAGTATGCTTAAGTAAGCCTGAGAACCAATATTATACGTTTGTATCTGTATCTACACAAATCTGCACTTGAATATATAAATAAATGACAATAGCTTTAGGTGCCAGTCCTGATGATTCACAGTGCCATGGATGCTAAGACTTCCTCTGTGCTCAAACTTACCTGAAACCTCAGCCGACCTCTTAAGTATTGTTAATTGAATCAAAGACCATTAAACAGTAATAGCTGCACATAGGCACTCCCAGACAAAATGCCCTGAAGACACATTCAAGACAGTTTACAAAAGCTCAATACTGCCACAGTCCCTATCAAAGACTGAAAGCTACAGAACCGGGTGGAGGCGGGACAGTGAAAAGAAGAAAAAAAATGAATACTAACACTGCATCCCTGCTCATGACACTGGGATTGGAACTAGATGATCTTTAAGGTCCCTCCCAATCCAAACTGAATCAAAGAATTGATGACTGAATTGTAACTGTGAAGCAATTACAACTGCTTACATACATCTCCTTAGACAAAATATTCCAAAGACACATTCAAGACAGTTTGTAAAGGGTGAATGTGGATACAAAGCATTCTATGATTCTATGAAGGAATACAGCTGAGCTTTATGCTTGTTCCAGAGATCACTATTCCTACAAGATACATACCTTTGCCATTTGCATTACAACAGAGAAGCCTAACTGCATCTCTAAGGTGTCAGAATTCAAATAACTTAGTAACTTTTCAGGTTTTCAAACTTGCATTTTGCAACCCTCAAGCCCTTCCTAACAAACATATCTGGTCTATCTTATTGCTCCTGCATCACAAAAAGAAAAAAAAAAAAAGACTCCTGAGGGCTAACTAGTGGCTTCTTTAAGCATGAATCGTCATCAGTCATTCCCAGAAAAAGAGTAAGAAATAGTGACTTAAGGTGCACATAGCCACAGACACCTTTTCCTACACGATGCACAAGCAAACAAAGTTTTGAGAAGGATTTGAGTATTTTCCTTGTGGAGTTTTCCTGTGAAAAACTAGCAATAAATCTGCCACGTCCTGAAACAGAGTTTGGAGACCTAAAATGTCCCGTCCACTGATGGAGGCCTGGTTCCATCTTGTATTTCTGCCCCTGAAAGCATAGGCACAGTTATGCTAAACAACCCTGTACTCTGAGCACCAACAGTGAAATGAGCAAGATAAAACTGCCAGATGTAACCTGAGAGGGAAAGAATATTGCTGGAAGTTTAATCAAGAGGTAAATCAAGAGAGACCTTTGTTAGCTCAATAATGTGCTTTGGACACCCGGCATGCACTTGCAATCCTTTCAACAACCAGCGTTTGAAATCTAAATCTTCGCTTTCCCAGCCTTGAGTCTGGCTATTTTATCTTACAGTTGGCACAGAAAGGCAGACTTTTAATTCCTGCCACAGTGTTTAATAAGGAAGAAAAGTTATCTGAAGAAGAAGGACACTCCATACATCAAAGCAGTTTTGTGCAAAGCAGCGCTTATTTTGGAAAAGACTGCAAGATTGTACTTTGACAAGGGACAAACTTCTCCAGGGCCTGGGCACTCTTACCTAGAAGGCTAAAAGGAAGAAGACAAGCCTAAATTCTGCAGTCTAAGTTCTATTCCAGCCCTGGTGATGACCTTCTGAAGACTCGCGTCAGTGCCCAAAAAGAAAAGAAACACCGATTGGAACGTGGGGTGGAAAGAAGAAAAAAAGAATTGTTTCCTTCAACTTCTTGCTTTCAGAAACAAGAGAAACAAGCTTTTTTTTATTATTAGCACTGCTCCTTCTAACTTGCTCTAGAAACTGTACGTACAAAGAAGACTGTAGAGCCTGCAGGAGGAGAGGGATGATGAAAAAACCACCATGGAAAGCAGCCAGTACAACACAAGGAGCCAGCTGATCAATCACACGCTGCTTTTCCTAGCAGCTCACTACATTACTTTTATTGTTGAAGAAGTTCCAAGCATCCGATACCTAAACAATACCAAACTCTTAAGACATGGAAAGCCAGCGAGGCTCCATGTCAGCACATGGAATGTTATCTGTGATTCACTAATTTACATTCACCTGTACGAGTGCAGCAAACTACAGACACAGACGGAGGCTCACAGAAGGGAAGTGAATAATTGATGAGAATCGAAACTTCTTTTTCAATTCAGCTCCTTCAATTACTTTATGCAAACCACTAAGATCAATTTCCTGAGACAGATACAGAAAATTTTGACTAGTGAAGTCACTAAGTGACATCTAGGTGCCCTCACACTATTGATCAGAAATCCATCAAGAGAAAATATAATACCAACACTCCAGCATAATCTCCAAAATGACCTTGTACTGACGCACAGGATCTTCCTAGGCCTGATTTTGTTTGCTGCCTCCTGGTAAGAAATCCAGAGCATTTCTGCTATGCATTTCTATAGCAGTTTGTATCAGCCAGCAATGAAATTTGATTCTACAGAAATCTAAAGCTTGATTCCTATCCTTTCAGCGCAATTTGTGCAAGAGCAGAGCACAAAACCATGCAACTGCATCACACATAAAGAACAGCAACAAATGCATCTCCAGCAATAAGCAACTGCAAACTTTAGAAGAAAAGCACAGGAAAGAAATTTTTTTTTAACTGCTCCTCATCTTGAAATGCATGGGGCAACACCAAGTTGTCAGCTTAACACCTTCTTCCACTGAAATGCAATCCCCACATAGACAGCAGCCCAGCTGCCACCTACAACGTATGGCTCACGGACAGAGTCAAAGACACAAACACCTTCACGAGTGCCTCCAAAGGCTGGGCAAAGAGAATTTAACTTGAAGTCATCGGTTTTCAGCTCATTTTTACGATAGGCAAAATTAGCTTGGAAGCAAATTACTTCAAAATTTGCTCTCAAGGCTAGTTACAGAGGACTGTTCTACAGAGTCAAAGCACTGGACTGCTACAGAGTGCCAAAAACACTGTCAGTAACAAACCAGATGTGGAGGTGTTTCTGAAACAACACAACTACACATGCTGACATTTCCCTATCCAAAGCTCTCAGGGCTCATGACGATACCCACACCTTTGCTCCACGGCGGTGATCAGATCCGACTGGAACCCATGTCCTCCTCCAGTAGCCACATAAGACCACGCTCTCTCTGAGAGAAGCTAACTTTGCGACTCAGCTTTCTCCAGTGTTAGAATCTTTTCAGCTAATTACTTATTGCTCAGTATCCACAGACAGCTATTTCACTCGCTTGAAGTCTCCCTGCCTTAGCAGTGAAATATCTTTATTTCTGCAACATACTCAGCACTCTGCACTGTATTTCTGCTTCTTCCTTTTAGATACAAAGAACGTAAATTACTTTTTGTGTTCAAAATGAGGTTCTTCCTTTGTACTCAACTGCATCAGCTGCTGCTACAAAGCTCCTTCAAGTGCAAATTCCATATGGAAGTTTTGAAAGTGAGTAAGACTACCAACTGAAACAATAACTTACTGTAGATCAGGAGAGAAAAGTAATTTAAACACTGAAACATTAATTGCTGCTAATGAGGCACACATCCACATGTAACCTCAGTATATCCAGAAACCATTTCTTCACACTACAGATGTCTGTGATAGAACATTAGACCTCAGCTACTCATCTGCAAAGTAGCTCTGAAGGACTCTCAAGGATGGGAACTGCACAGCAAACTAAATACCATTTCTAATCAGGAATCTGTTGTGCTTCTGTCGTACTTCTATGGAAGGAAGATCTGTGTAAGACCTTTGCACTGTAATTAAGAGTTGCTTCCGTTAGCTCTTCTCATGCTGGAAAGAGAAGCTGATGTGCAAAGCACCATCACTCCTTGCTTTTATTGCTACAGTGGAGACTAACTTGATTTATCAAGGTCAGCACTGGGAATTAGCAGAAACAAACTCAGGGGCGTTCCATATCCCTTCTGAATCTGAAGGGTCACTGGTGCAGCCATGGGGCTATTCTGGAAGTGTTTAAGCTACCAGGCAGCTTGCACCAGCACTGCACACTGCAGCGAGCGGACCTGGAGTTCATGAACTACAGTGCCAGCCCTCCCCTTTTACCCCAGGGTCTGGCTATCACTTGGGGAAGAGAAAGCGGAAAACTTAGGGCAAGGTAAGGATTACCAATAAACCGTTTTACACCTGCTGCTGAACTGTGGCATGTGGCTGGCATGCTCCAGGCAACTGCATTTGAATCACAATGCAGCTATGGGCCAAGTGTTGAAGAGCTGGGGGTCAGACCTGTTTGCAGAAGGTAGCCGGGCCGTTCAAGAAGCTCCCCGGCAAAATCAGATCAGTCTGGAGTCCAACCATTGCTATGGCAGACACAGAAACCCAGAGCCACAGACCAACAGTAGAGATCACTGAGTCCCATCCACCTGCTAAATAAAGCAGCTCTCCTACAACAGACCACACAGGTGAAAAAGCACACACATAACTAACAAAGCCTTTCCACTACAGCGAAACAAAAGGGGAAGAATAAAGAGAGAAACAAAATTCCCCCATGCAACTATTTTTCATAAAACGTAAGAAAAATATTAAGCATTCTTTTTTTTTTGCCTTTAATTTCCCGTTGCAGATCTAACTCCTTCCCTCCTTCTTCCAAAAGCACTGACGTACAACAAGATGAGTGGGGCAAAAACTCTATTCCAAAAAGGAGACAAAAACTGGAGAAAGTGAGGCTGCATCCCAGAATGAAAGCCCCTGAGCGGCAGAAGAAACGGATGCTGCTGTTGTGTGACTATTAAGCACAAAGTGCCCGATTCAGAACAGCTTACGCTGTTGGCTGTCATTACCCTAACCTGAATAATCTTTATTCTCTGCGATTTTCAACTTTTCTAGCAGATTATGAGAAACAAAGGAACTGACCCACACAGCCAATTGCAGGACACAGCACCCAGAGGGAAAGGCTCAGGTCAGCAAGCCTGCTCTTCCAGCACAAACCTCCGTGAGCTCCAAAATCTTCTCGTTCAGAACCACAACTTGAGAATGCAGCTGCTACCCAAGCTCTGAACCACAAGCCACATCTCATTTTCAGCATTACAATCTTCACAAGAATCTGATGACCCAAATCAGAATGTTTCCACTCCAGACAACCTGGCCGTAAGAAGAAAAGCGCTGAAGGAAGTTTCCTGAAGTCTACCTGCCCTTCCTGAAGTGGAAGTGTTTAGAAACAACTACAGCAATGCATCAATGCAGCCAGGACTGCAGGAAAAACAACCATCACAAATGCCTCATTTCACTACAGCTACTTTTATTATACTATCATTTCCATTTAATTTTGAAGTATAGTTATATAAAAAACACCCCACACATTTATATGGCAAATTTAAGAGGCAACAAACTTGTAACTCATTCCAACCTAACGAAGAAAACTTGACATTTGACACCCACTCAGCTTTTGTTTTCATTTTGTCATTTTGTCCTTTGTTCAGATTTTTCTTTTCCAATGCCTCAAAGTAGGCAATTACCTGTGAGGACATGAGGAGAAGAGTCTGAACTTGGAGGAGTTGCAGAGATCTCAGAGAGTGGAGCAAACCACATCCCTCAGAAATCATAAAAACACACAGAAGCCTGTGATCCGTGACGTTCCATTTCAAAACATCATGATCTGGATCCAATCTGGAACAGCATGTGCAGGTGAGAAAGATCAACAACGGCACAGAAAAAAAGCAGCTTCAGGGCCGCCTGGAGAGTGAACTCATCAAGAATGATCTGCGGCTGGATGCAGCCCTGACGTGTTTCTGCCTCTGAGGGCACTCACCCGACCCCAGGAAGGAAGCCCTGGTCTCAGGAATTAAAAGTTTCCATGGCCTGCCTGCTGAAAAACTATTCTCTCACAGTTTGGCATTAAGGAATGACACACAGCACAGTGAGCTTCAACAGTTGCCCCTTTCTCTAGATGAAATCTGAGATTAAAAACAATATATCTTCGTCTTGGGGTACACAGAATAATAACATGCTAGAGGAAAGCATCAGGGAAAAAAATCCCATCCGTGCTTCCTTCTACATCAGACGTTTCCATAAAAAGACAGATTCGAGTTATCTGATGGAAGAAAACAAACTCCCCAGACATTTGATAAACAATCATCGTTTGTTTTTTGCTTCGTTACGTTTTTGAAGCAAGTGCAGAGCTAAAATTCACTTCAGCAGAGCCCACGTGTTAACAGCACCTGCCACGGGGCAGGCTTCACTCACACAAGAGACCAGGACCAATGCAACCTGGATGAGCACCTCGAGGAGGATGAGTCTGTGCTATTCTATCTGGACAGCCTGGTGCTTTTCAGGCATAATCAGTACAACTCAACACAGATTTCAGCACAAGACTTTTTACAGCTAACTACAGCAGTGATAAACTGTCAGCAGCTCCCAGGACAGACACCAGCACTCAGATGTTCTACTCCTGCAGCAAGAACGCCTGGATTTTACCTGTAAAATACACACAACTAAATACAATCTATGTTAGGACAGGTAGAAAGCGGGGATTGGCAAGGGAAAAAATCATAAGCTGATGTCCATGACTGACGCAGTGTTTAAATGCAGGATTTTCACCATGCAAAAGCAAAGCGACAAATATTATTTTGAACAACTAAAATCTACAGTAATTCACAAAAGAAACAATCACAACAAGGTGGTTTAAACGCCTATGAAAAAAGATGAATGCTTCTCAGCTGGCTATGTACCACTCCTCCAAAGATCCCTGCACATTCTGAGTCATCACTCCTTTTCCCATGCTACAATGACTGACTGCCAGCATTCTGAAACAGCAAGGGATGCTCATTCTTAGTAATAGCATTTCCACAGCATTTGCTGCGGATTCTAAGACTAACAGCAATATTTCTCATTATTCCACTGGCAATGTTGTGTGTTGTGGCTCAGACTTCTTTTTTTTTTTTTTTGCCAATCTAAATTACATTTCCCAAGACGAAAGCGTGTGGGGAAGATGAAGTGTGCAGCAAAGGCTGAACTGCATTAACATCTAGGGCAAAGCACATCAAATAACAATGACTGGCTAACTTCCTGGAACTCTAGTGACGTGCTGTTTTAAACCTCCCATCCCCTAACCAGGTTTCCACAATGCAAAGAAACCTGTAATGCTTTTTTTTGTGTACGAAGAAGGGAATGCAGCTTCCCTTCACAAGTTCACAGATCTGCGTAGTAGTAAATATCTCACAACTCTGTTTTCAGTCAGGGAGGTCTGTAACGTCCACAGTTTATGCATTCTGATTTTACAACACTGCAACTGACATCTGCTCCTTATAATAGTTTGTAATGTTTTTCCCCTTGTATAAGAAGGTTCTCGCCTGCTTCCTCCCCTTCTACCCTTTCTGTCACCCCTTCCCAAGTGGAGAAAACACTATTTTCTCCTCATTTTAGACTCTTAATACTACAGTTGCATAATATTATCATCTTCAAAATTAGTCTATCTTTCAAACCGTTTTTCAAGAGCAATTATTACAAAGTTGTGTGGGAGAAAAACTCACAGGGCATCTAAAAAGCCAAGATTTTATTATTAGCCAAAATAAATCCATGTGAATTTTTAACATTTAGTGAAGCCCTGATTTGACTTTAAAATGCTGTGCTTTTAATGCAAGGACTTTATTCTCTAGGCACAGTAAGCAAATTCTTAACATCGGTAATCAACAGAAGCCAAACACAGCCCCTTCACTAGGCAGGGAAACTTAGCATTTTCCCAGTGAGATGTAATCACTGTTAAAAAAAAGTGAGTTATACAGAGTTCTTTAAGGTTGATACGCCATGGTTTCCTGAGAGCACTGATATCCATCAGGCACCCCCATCCATTGCTGTGAGATTTCCAGGTAATGACACAATTTAAAATGTCTAGTAATAGTTAAAGAATGCAAATAATTGCTCTTCAAAGACAGACTGTCTACAGCCTCCTGCAGCAGGGAAGTTTTCAAGGAAATGTCAGACCTTGCCTCTGAACAGCAGCAAAAGCTTCAGTGATGACTAACACAATTGATTTAAGCATTACAACATCAGCAAGCCACCGCCATACTACACAGATTACTTACTGATAAATTTGTGCCATTATGACAACAAAGAGACATAGCAGTGTGTGCTTACTCACCCTTACAAGGCTGGGAGCAATACATGAACAAGGTATGTTGACATTCTTGAGGCACTTCTCGTGGGACATGAAGTTGCAAACTGTGGAGATCAAAGAACAGCGGGTGAGTCTCCCACGAGGAACGGACATTCGTGGTGAGACGCAAACAAACAGGAAATCAAGCAAAAAAAATCACGTGTGGCGAAACACAACTGGGAACATATCATTTCCATTGCATTTGCTCTCCTCCAGCTACGAGTACTTACACAACTGTCGTATCTCTTGCAGCACATGAACTTCAACCAGTTTTGTTACCAAAAATGCTGGTGATAGAAAGCAAGAGAGCTCACACAAATTCATTACATGCCAGCAGCACCCCCTTCTCGCCCACCCTCTCCTCTCCGTAACCACCAAAATTACTTCTTAAATTTCAGGTGAGACTTTAAGCAGCTGACAGTCCAAAACGGCTCTTTGAAGTAGCCAAAGTAGATGGACATGCTTGAAAGCAAACTCCACTAAAATTAATTGCATGTATCAGGAATAAATGGAAGGAAACACAGCACTGGCACACACGGAGTGCAATGGATGAAAGAGACAAAAGTCACCGGTTTTTTGTACAGCTTTGAAAGTCGAGAGTTTCTTCTTCTTATTAATTATTACTGCTACCACTACTATTACTACTTGTGCAGCAACAGGTCTAGAATTTCATCGGAGCTTTACTAAATGTCTTGTCAAGCAGTGATGGCTTTAGAGCCCTCCACCTCTCAGACTGGCTCTTCCAATCCAAACAGAAATATACACAGCTCAGGAGGAAGCACCTTCCCATGACTTCTGAAAGAAGATCACTTCTGAGCAGCAAAAGCCACCATCCACAGGAAGTTTTCTCATGTCCCTGCTTTTCAGAAGCGTGTCACACCACTTCATGTTTCATGAGTTACTGCAAAAGACCAACTCTTCTGCAGCCCCAGGTGTTGTACTTACACTGCTGTTCTTTGCAGCATGTGCTCTTGCCATCAAAAGCAGACCACTTCCTTCTCCTCTCCCTTCTGCAGCTTATTTCCTTCTGATTTCACTTTTTCTCACATGCCAAGATAGTAATCTTAATGCAGGTTCACTTATTTATGTGGCTTACTGCCAGTCCATGCAAATAACCTTTCCTTTTGATGGCACAAAAACCTGAACGACCCCTTTCATGTTCCAATGTGCTCAGCAGGCTGACATTTGCTTTTCACTTGTCTGCAAGTCAGGAAAAAAAAAAGGGCTCTGCAAGGCACTGCTGTGCTGAGACATTCACTATTGGTGGCTCAAGACTGTGACCTATGCAGCAATGAAAAGGGAGTGGAAAGAGAGGAGATAAAACCTGCTGTTGGCTGCTATGAAGCATCACATCTACCTTTACGGTTGATGGTACTCCTGACTCCGTGGTACAGATAAGGAGCAGAAAGAATCAGCAAAGAGGTGATCTTAGGGAAGCTGAAAAATGAAAGGCTAGTAAGGGAAATCAGCTAGAAGACACAAAAGTTTGAGGGAAAAACAAAAAAACCAATAACCATTTAAAAGGAAAGGAAGAAGTAGTCTGTTCTATAGGAAGAGGATTCCTTTGTGTGTTAGCTCTGGGCACCTAACTACACCCAGGCGTACAGCAGCTATTTGACAGCTTGTCCTTGTTGCTTTACTCTCTTCTGCCCAGAAATTGGCGACTTCAACCACATGAGAAATTACATGTTTGCAACACACAGCAAGAAGCCAGGTGGCCAGTGGGCACCATGGAAAAGGGCAGCGTATGGCAACGAGCTGGGACGTGCAGCTTTGCAGCAAACACTTGCAAGGAAACAAAACATTTCTTCCCTGCCTTGCATAGCAGGAGACAGGAGCTGAGCACTGCAGTTTAGCAAAGGCGGCTGAAACCTCTAACATGCTGCACTTTGTCACACAGCCTTTTTTCCCCTCCCTGTCCTTCAGTCAGAATTCAGAGCAGGTTTCAAAACTGGGATGAGGAAAGAGGTCTATTTTGTCCTGCACAGACTCCAGCAATGTATCAGTGTGCCATATGCAAGTGAAGGCCAGGTGAGAATCATACAAAATGCCAAATTCCACAACCTACCTTCTCCCACTTGTGAACAGAACACAGTCTGGAGCAGAATCCCAGAAGGTTTTGAAAAGTACTTTTGTTTCTTCTTTGAGGAGATGTTTAACATAACTCAAAGTCCTGTGATCTTTTTAAAATCGAATGTATAAATTATGAACTTAATAGTCTTTCACTTCTTAACTTTAACAGCATTATTTATAAGTATCTGATTTTGCATTTGCTAAATGTGAAAATGTTTAGCACTTACAGCTCTAAAAGTAAGGATTCCAAACTGCTCCCCCAAAGAGGATCAAGGAAAGTCAATATAAAGGCCCAAGTGGACTGGCTCCTCTCCTGGAAGTGTTATAAATCTAACACAAGGCTCCCTGGACCTGCTCACATGTGTGTTTGTACCCAAGAGCATTTCTCTCATTTCAGCAGGCACACACTTAATAAAAGCACAACCAAAGTAAATTTCAATTCCCCCACCAAGCACACCCTCCAGTGCTTTCTTGAAGCAGGGCTTACCCTAACAGTTCCTAGACTGCAGTTTGGACCCATCCAGGCAGTCTGCCCCTGCACACTCATGTCCCAGATTCACGTCACAAGCAGCAGTAATTGGTAACGATCTCTTCCTCTTCAGCAGCTCCCTCTCGCTGTGCGCTCCTGCCTGGTTTGAGCCATGGGTTTTGCAGCACATGGTCCCCTAGGAGCCATCAGCCTTCCTGCTGCACGTAGCAGGTCAGGCTGAGCACCAACAGAGAGACCTCGTGCATGTGAAGGCAGCAGCACCTTCCTGCTGCAGGGAGCTCTCTCAACGCTGCCCTGAATGCAAAAGGCACCCACAGCAAGTGCCAGTAATTCCCGAAAAACACCACGACGCCTTGGCCAGCTGTCTATCACAGGGACAGCATGGGGAGGGTTCATTTCCCATCGTGAAGTGGCAACACAACTCCTCAGCGCTGGCTGGGTGGCTCGGGAAATCATTTCCTTTCCTTCTGCACAAGTGCCATAGCTCACTAGCTTGCATTGTGCTTACCTGGGCAAGTCACAGCCCTACACCAAAGCTTCTTCCAAACTTTTAGCAATGCTTACAGATGATTGACTCAATGGCTTATTCTTGTCCTTAAAACAAACAATAGCTTAGCCACAAATGGACTAGAAACTCAGGATTGTTTTCTTAGCTATCAGCACACAAGCTTTTCATTTCCAGAAAAATTTAAGTGCAAAGCATTAAAGCCCATACTCAACTCATTACTGTGATTATAAATAAAACTAAATGAAAAGAGATATTTCTCTGGGGCATCCTGTTAAATTTAGGCCTTGGAAGAAATCTGTTTCAGAGGGTTTACAGGATTGTATTGCCTGACAGCTGTAAGAGTGCAGCACAAATGGAAACTCTGCATTCCCCTACAAAAAAAAGAATCGCACAGATAACTTTTGTGTGAAATAAAACCTGCTCCATAAGGCAGGTGTGCTCAGGGTGTGGGAGGCTAAGCCCTTCTTAAAAATCTGGTGTTGCATGAAGCTGTTAGCAACCTGCCAGCAGCCAGCTGCTGCACACAGACCGTGCACATGAACTGAGCTGCTGCAGTGGCACGGAGCTGGCTCTTCCTCACAACTTCTTGCTTTCACTTAGGCTTTTTTTGGACAACTACACACTGAGCTTGTTTCCCCAGGCTTGTTACTACAACTTTAACTTCATTTATTGCCTGGTCTGTACTGTCGGGTTTGCTCGAGGCCCACCCACTCGTAAGAATATTCTTCCCCCTTCATGTGCTCCATAGTTATCAACAGCTGGGAATAAAATTTAGATTAAAATTAACTCACTCAAAAGGTCTCCTGCAACACGCAGCAATTAGTGTCCATTTTAAACTCAGCTCACCACTGTCCTTGTACTGGTGCTGGTGGGAAACTTGAGCAGCACTGGTCAGTGTCAGGAAACCACTCTGATCAAGTTCACTGTTTGCCTTTACCACCCAAAAGCAGGCCTGTAGTTCATGTTGCTTTATTTCAGCATCTCACACATCCCCAGTGCCAGCTTTCAGCTCTAGAGAGGTCCTTCCCATCTGTAGTATCCTGGTTACATCTGTCTCTGTCTTCTGGTCAGATGTTCAGTTAAGCGAGACAAAGAAAAGATTGTGCTTACAGCAAACTGACTCTGGCATTACAGCACTCTTTGCCTGGTCCTACAGTTCCACCTGTGTGAGGATACCACCGCCGTTGGGCGGACTGAGAATCATCACCTACATTTTCTGGAATGTATGGAAAATGTGCAGGACGAAAAAAAAAGATGCTTCTACTAATTTCAATTGTAGAATTGCAACAGTAGAACTGCAATTGCTGTTTTTGTCCAACAGCAGGTGTTACAGGTGATGCCCACCTAAACACACGTCCTCCTGCAAAGGATGAAACAGTCGATGGGGAAAAATGGGGGAAGTCCTCAGCCATTAACTCAAGTGCAAGTTTACTCTTTCTACTCTGGAACTGGAATGTGTTGCTCTCACGTTTCAGACTTGAGTTCTGATGCACTCATTTTAAAAACTGAGCACATTTAGAAATATACACCTGCATTAGATGTAGGTTGTACACCTTCCACATTTATCCTACTGCAGCACAACCCAAGATTCTTCCTCTTCCTTCCTTAAGGTCATCATTGCACACTACATTCCAGACAAAACTCATCTCTAAGTTTTCTTTCCCCACCTGAGCAGATCCCATCAGCTACCTTCAGAGGCACTTGATGTTGTCTGAAAAAAGACACCACAGGGCCACTTTGAAGGCAGCCTGCACTAGTGGAAAAACTGGAGAGGTGTCCAACAACATAAATATTTCCTTTGAATAGACACCATTATTACAAACCTTTGTTCTGGACAGCAGCAACTTAAAAAAGGCACCAATCATCCGAAACAAGAGTGAGTACTTGAAGTGGCCTATGCTACCTCAAGCCAACACTGCAACTATTCTCTAACTGCAGGCAATTATTAAGAGCCCTTCAGAATTATAAAACATTCTCCAACTCCAGCCTGAGAA